AAAGCTTATATTTGATATTATTAAAATGTATCAATTAGGTAATTTCCCTTTATTAAGAAGAAAAGTTGGTGTATTATTAAATTATCAATTTATTTACTTATTTATACACCCGATGTTATTTGGCAAATGAAATGCAATCCATCAATTAGTAAAAGTCTGATTGGTCTATCTACAAAATTCATTCATTCCAAACGGCATATTCATGCCTCTAAATATATACATAAAATAATAATTTAAATAAACACATTACTGTTGAGCTATGCTCGCTTTGACGTAATAATTTAATACTTATAATTTAAAATTTGTAACAATCTAGTCCGTGTCGCAAAGAACCTTATCAAAATTAGTTATCAATTTTTATTATATAATTATTTAGTATTCGTAATTTATAAACACATTTGATTACTAATTATTTTATTGATCTACGTATATAAGAAATTTAACAAAAAAATTTTACGATAGAGATTAACTCGTTAAAAATTTTAAACTATAAAAATTAAATTATTATATATTAAAGTTCATTGACTTAATTATTACTGTATTAAAAATATATTTTTAATAATAAAAAAAATTAAAAAATAATGACAGAAATAAAAAAGAAGCCCGAAGCGACTCCGAGTAGCGCCAGAAGGCGCCCATGCGGCTATCTTCGCGCCGTTCAACGATGGTTCATAGACTCCACATTGACCCTATAGCTCTGGTCTGGTTAGCCACTGACTTCCTCTTCAACGCTGCCGTCTTCTCTCTCTCTCTCTTCATTTTTTCAATCTCCCGAATCACTGTCTTCTCCATTCCTCTCCCATGGTGAGCAATTAGCCAGCACCATTGCTCTCCCCTCGAAGCAACCTGCAATGTTGAATCTATCCTCATTATCTCACCGCATTTTCATCTCCATTTTCCTCCTCCTCTGCTCCGCGCGCCTGCTTCCGTCCACCGCCCTCCCTCTCTCCGACTCCGATCAGCCACTCCTCGCCAACGCTACTCTCCAGTCCAATAACGTGTCCACTCCCAGGAATAAGGAAGGTAGTTTTGCTGACATCATTGATCGTGCTTTGGAGAATGAGTTCAAGGAGAATGACCAGAATGAAGGTTAGTGGATCTTAGATCTCGCTTCCCCACTCGATTCTGTTAGGGTTTTTGTTCGTTTGTTGCAATAGATTGTGGTTATTATGCGGAATCTAAGTTAAGTGTGGGGTGCGGTGTTCTATGTGGTGCCTAATTTGATCTACTATGTTTCAATTTTTGCTACTACACGACACGTAATTCCTTTTCTTAGTAAGAGGATGCTGATACGAAATTTGCATGTTAATAGGATTGCAGTTTGAATTGTTCTTTCTATCTGTTTGGTTTGAGCTTTTCAATGTTATCATTTAGATCAATGCCCGTCGATTCCGTTAGTTATCTCTATCTTTTTTTCTGGTGCATGTTTTTACTCATTTAATACGTTTGATAACTTTCCAATGCGCATTATGTATATGTCGTTAGTGATTTTATTTTTGTAACTCGTATGATGTAGAATATCTTCTAACTTCTATTTTGAGTAACCTGTGGATATTTCTATATCTTGCCTATTTCCCCGCTCTTATTTGTTTGTTTGTTTTTCCCTTTTTTGGGGGGGCATTTCAGCAATTGATGCAGGAAGCTTCAACAACAGCGTAGCAGAGCAGCAGGTTGGTAATCAAATGTATTTAAACTAGTAACATCATTTTAAAGACTTTTGAATTTGACCATAGCACCGTGAATTATGGATCTTATTCACACAAGAACAGTTAACTGTTTTGAGTACATGGCACAAGTATGTGATGATTTGGCCCTCATTGAATGCGTTGTTAATCAGGCAGTTCTGGAGACTGTAGCAAGGGTAAAGTCAAAGAAAAATGATACGAAAGAGGAAAAGTACATGCTTCTAACTTTCAGTATTACATTTCACCTTCAGGCCATACTAGTGGATTATCTGTGCATTTCCCTAAACACTTGTGTTTCTGATTTAGGTCATTTAATGTTTTCAATCTGGACAGCGACAATAGAGCTGAAGATACTCCTACATTGATTGATCGAAAGGTGTGAATATTTAATATTTGTATGTATTGTCTGTCAAATGTTCATTTCGTGCTTACAGGTTGCTAAAACCCTCCTTTTTTTTTGGGTCTCTTTTCTTTTCCAGGACAACGTCTTTATCATATCTAACTTTAAATCTAAATATCCGGTGCTGCAGCTAGACTTAAGGTATGTTATTATCTTAAATAATTGTCGCTCAAGTAGTGACTGATAATGACTTCTGATTTTATGAGTTGGCAGATTGATCTCAGATTTGGTAATCGTTATTGTCTCTGCAACTTGTGGTGGCATTGCCTTCGCCTGTGCTGGACAACCAGTATGATTATTTTTACCTAAGCTATTTGATGGTGAATAACAATTCTAGGATGTGATCTCATTCCCATGATATGGACTGTACAATATATATGTAACCTGTGTTATATTTTATCAGGTTATAACTGGATACCTGCTAGCAGGATCTATTATTGGACCTGGAGGATTTAACTTTGTCAGTGAAATGGTGCAAGTACGTTGCTCCTGAAGCTGTCATTTATGGTTCTTCCAGAGCTCTTTTTTTCTCTACCCAAGATTTGGAAGATAAAACTACATCTGGCATGTTATTTTGTGTGCATGTCTTGCTATTTATGTGTTTTAGACATGTCTTTAGTGCGGAAAATGGAGAATTCAGGGCTTGTAGGTCATCTGAGAAGATCTGGTTTTTGAGTTCGTGGTCTCTTCCTGAGATCTTCTCAGATGGATAAGAAAAAAATACCTTACCCCTCTTCTTTGTGATCCTTTTTTCTGTAATGAATTTGTTTCTTATCCAAAGTAAAAAGGGCGAGTAATGAATCATCAGAGATTTTATAGATTGTTAGCTTTAGTCTATTGATTCTAACTACAGGTGGTAAAAGAATAGGCATTGCTGAATTTCTTATTATTTTCCAGAATGTTTCCATCAAGAAAGTTGAAGATCTGTTGGGTTTATACAAGGGGTCAATTAGTCATTAGATAAGTAGTTGTTAGGAAAGGATGGTTATAAATAGTGTGAATTAGGAAAGTTAGGGTCACAGTTACTTGTGAGTTTTTTTGTAAGAGAGAGATTGCCCTCTCCAAAGCTTTCACATTTTTTTTAGTTTAATATTGTAATCCAGTTTCAGGCATTATATATATATTTTTGGGTTTTACTTCTGAAGTTGTGTCCTACGAAGCACAGACAGGTGTGTTGGACACGTGTCAGATATGGACATGTGCCGGATGTGTGTTTGACACATTAAAATGAGTATCTTATTTATTTATTTTAAAATTTCGGACAGATACGGCCAGACACATAAAAATCTTTTTAAATAGTTGAAAAATTAAAAAGAAGATGGAGAGGAAGGAATAGTTTACTCTAATGGGCTAACTTTCTATGAAAATTATAAATGCACCAGAGGAGAAAGCATAGGCATACCATTCTTCAGACCACAATGCAAGAAGAAAAGGAAGCTTTAGAGGCGGGGTTGAGCATAGAAGAGGGAAATTAGGTTGATTTTATTATCTTGCATCGAATAAGGAGAAACATAAAATAGGGAGCAACTAGCATGTGTCAAAGAGAACCTTGCTGTGTTGTACAAAAAGGAATCTGAGAAAGAGAGCATCCTTTGGTAGGTTAAAAATCTGCTGCTTGGTACAGAAAGGGGAGTTGTTGATTTATAGACTTAAATGAGTAGGACTTGATAGTGGACTAGTGGTGTGGGACACTGTACAATGTACTACTTACTTGATTTTGCAACAGGTGGAACCGTGTTCCAAGGTTTTCCACCGTCTTTTTCTTAATTGATTTTCTAATTTTTTTGATTGCAGGAGACATTGTTTTCTCATTAGGTTTTCTTTCTTTTATTAATTTTTTTGTTTTGATGTTAAATTTACATTTTTAATATATTTTGAAGTAAGTATTGAATGTTTCAACCTACACACATATATTGAAAAATTAAATGAAAGATGGTGTATCTGCTATGTAATGTAATGTGTCTGTTTCTTACTTTTTTAGAAATTAACGTGTTGTTAGGTCAGTGTCGTGCTTCATAGGTGGTGTCTATCAAAATCATTCTGTTATACGTGCATGCAACATGAATTTGTCTGTTGTGATCGTTATTGAGAGAAAAATGACATTTGTGTTGATTTCTTTCCACGCTTTCTTTATCAATGGCTTTATCCTTTCTTTTCTTCCTACATTTCCTTCTTATTGATTTTTGTGTTTAGGTTGAAACAGTAGCTCAGTTTGGTGTAATTTTTCTTCTTTTTGCACTAGGTCTGGAGTTTTCAACAACTAAGGTCAGTCTTATTTCCTTTTAATGTCATTTATAAATGTATATAATATTATGATACCTTTGCTAAGCCTGCTGCTATATTTTAGCTCCGAGTTGTTCGTGCAGTTGCTGTTCTTGGTGGCCTGCTCCAAATTTTCCTATTTATGTGCCTCAGTGGGATCATAGCTTCGGTATTAATAGTGCTTCTCTTGTTTATTACGCTTTTGCTCGTTAACACTAAATTCAGAAAATCTTGTGTTGTTGACTACCCTATTTTTGCCTGTTGAATTAGTTATTTTGGATCCTGAATTAGGCAGTGGGTCCAATGCTCACCTGCCCTAAATGATAACATTTTTGTAAGACTTTCCTGTCATTTTAACTTCAGCCATTGGTTTTTTTTGCAGTCATGTGGTGGGAGTGCTTCTGAAGGAGTTTTTGTTGGAGCATTCCTATCTATGTCCTCAACAGCAGTGGTAAAATACTGTACAACTTTTTTTAATGCATGAAAGTGTGGAAACATTCACTTGCATGCTTTGTATTCTATTTTCTTGCTTGTATGATAACTACTATCTCATTATTGGATTGCAGGTGCTGAAGTTTTTGATGGAAAAGAACTCATCAAATGCTCTTCATGGACAAGTCACGATTGGTACCCTTATCTTGCAGGTAATGTTTTTTTGTTTTTTTCCTCAGTTAACTTTGACCTTATAGGGGAACAAACTATTACCTACCTCATCAGTTTCATTGGCTTTGCAGGACTGTGCCGTTGGGTTATTGTTTGCTTTGCTTCCTGTACTGGGTGGGAATTCTGGTATTCTCCAAGGAGTGATGTCCATGGGTAAAGTGTAAGTGTAAATAGGAGTTTGTTATGCATGAGCATAACTTTAAGGCTTTAAATCACATAGTTAATTATTTTGACTTTATTTTTTTTGAACTATATATATATTTTTGTATATCACAAAATTTGGACGGGACTCATATGTCATTACAAGTTTTCACACATTTTCGGCTATTCCATAATATGTACATCGCCTGCGCCCTCCACCCCTGGAATGATACTTTTCCCATGAGAATAATAAGAAGTTATTTCCTTTTGTTTTTAACATTGTTGCGTGACCTTGCACTATTTATGGTTCTTGGGAATGATGGGAAAATGTTTCAATGTCTGGAAGACTGGAACAAAAAGTATCCTCCTTCCAACAGTAATGAACTCTTTGGGTAAGCCTTATGCTTGTAGCTTATTTTTGGAAAAGAACTTCCTAGATTATTTCTTACGATCTTAAAAGTTAAAAGTAGAGGATCTTTTCCTAAAGGAGTTGTTTAAAGTTGTTTTGGAGTCTTAAGTACCCAAAGAAAGTCAAACTTTTCCTTAATGGCATTAGCACTAGTGAATATTGAACAAAGGGGAACCCTAATTGCAACTCTTTAACCTAATTGTTGCAATCGATGTAAAAGGCTCCTCTGAGGGCTCAAATAACTTGTTCAAGGATTGCCCATATGCTTCCCAAATCTGGTGGAATATCTTCCACATCTTTGAAGTCCGGATGATTTCCCGACTTGGTTATGGTTTTCCTAATTCATGCTCTCTCATGTGTGCTTTTAATTTCAAAATGCAATTTTAGGTTCTTGGGCATAATGCTATTAGGGGTGTCTTTTTAGGACTCTTGGCTAGGAAGGAACTGGAGAGCTTTCCAAAATGTTTGTAGGGATTTTAGGGAGCTTTGGGATTCTTTTGTTTTAGTCGCGAACCTGTGGAGTTCTGTAATTATGCACCCCCCAAATTGCCCCAAATTGGATTTTTTTAAATATTTTTTATTTAAATAAATTTATAATAATTAATATAAAAAATAATAAATTTAAGCTCCTTTGAGTGCCTTGTATGTATGTGTCATTCCTTCTTGTGAGATATTTGTTTATTACGACAAGAAGAGCGGAAGTTGGTGTGTTGAGATTGAGAACCATATATGGAACTAGTTTTATATGCTTTCTGTAGATGGTTAATTATTCTTGATATTTTAGTTTTGAATTCTTCTTCATTTAGGAAGAATGAGAACTGATTTTGTAATGACATGTAGATTGCTAGAGAAATTATAGTGTACGAATATTATATTTATGAGGCTTTATATTTCTCAATCAGGTTGGTGATCTTGGTAACCTTTTTGGTTGTGTTGTCAATTCTATCCCGTACATGTATTCCTTGGCTTCTAAAGTTGATGATAAGCCTTTCTTCACAGGTATGCTTTATTCCATCTATTTATTCTTATATGAAATAGTTTCAACTGATTTAACATTTGGATAATTGCCAGAAGTTCAGTTTGCACTTTTGAAGTGTATTTTCTCGTGCAGACCAATGAACTCTATCAATTAGCTTCAGTGGCATTCTGCTTGCTTGTAGCGTGGGTTAGTATCAACTTTCCTCTCTCTGTGTGAGTTCAATTTTATGCATGCGAAGGTGACATACCTCGAATTGTCATCATTTGTGTCATTTCGGTTAGTTATGCATATTTGAAACTACAACTCTCTGCATGTTTACTCTTCGACCTTAACCTCGTGGGGCTGAATGGATAGTCCAGTTTAATTAAAGCATGATTTTAGACTTTCATTTCTTGGTTGTATATTGTCTCAGTGGTGAATATGGCTGAGCTTGCGGCAAATGTTTTAATGTCATCACGTCTATTTTTCCAATTGAAATTCCAGAATATCCTGTTAATACAATTTTTATGTTAATGAAAACTTATAGGTGCTTTTTATTATGTCACATCACTCTTTGAAGCATGGATAATTTGGTCTTGATATCATTTCCGTGTTTGACATTGGATACCCTGATAGTTGCTGAGCACTTTTTGATCTTGTTTTAATTTTATTGGTCGCAATACGATTCAGTGAAATTATTTTGTGTGCCTATTTTCTGTTACTAACCATTTTTACGATTTCAGTGTAGTGATAAGTTGGGGCTAAGTCTAGAATTGGGCTCCTTTGCTGCTGGAGTGATGATATCAACAACTGATCTTGCTCAACATACACTTGAACAAGTAAGGCATTATATGCTTTCTTTCAAGAGATGCATTTGACTTAATTGTTATGGTACAATAGCACGTTAGTTTTATCTTCTTGTTTTATATATATTTAAATAAAGGTGTCTATTCTTATTGTTATTTTTCTTATTATTATTTCTCAGTGGGGGTTCCATATACCATTAGTTTGCTCTGCATGGCCTTCAGAAAGTGGTATCACCATATCCTGAGGCTCATTATAATTGGGTTGAGATAGGATTTGGAAGGGCATGGTGTAGGTGATAAGGGATGATGGATTCTTGCATTTTATTGGGGACAATATGTTGGGATGCTGTTTGAAACTCTTGTTTTTCTGTATCCCACGATTATGTTGCATCCTATAGAGTGATTTTATAATTGATGGGCTTCACCTTCATCCAATTATAATTGATTGTGTCTACAGATAGAGCCTATTCGGAACTTCTTTGCAGCCCTTTTTCTTGCTAGTATTGGAATGTTGATCCATGTTCAGTTTTTGTGGAACCATGTTGATATATTGCTGGCAGCTGTTATACTGGTGATAATTGTGAAAACAGTTGTAATTAGCACGGTAGTGAAGGGATTCGGTTACAACAACAGGACAGCAGTTCTTGTAAGATTATATAGCCATATGCAAAGCATCTGTGCTTAGTTCTCGATATTGTTATGACTAGTCTTCTGGATTTTGACTTGTGATGCATAGGTTGGAATGTCTCTGGCTCAGATAGGGGAATTTGCTTTTGTTCTTCTCAGCCGTGCATCTAATCTTCATTTAGTTGAGGTCAGTGTCATTTTACTGCTTCTTAGGAAAAGCATGAAATGAGATGCATGCTAAAAACAATTCTCTTGTTAATTTCCAGGGGAAATTGTATCTGCTGCTTATTGGGACCACAGCTCTTAGCCTGGTGAGATTCAATTCAGTTCTGTACATAATACATATTATAGTTTCATTGGTTTCACATGTTCTGTAATGATCTACATAGATTTATTTTCTCCGCAGGTTGTCTTATAAGTAGAAAAGGTTCTGTTAGCTTATTCTGAGTTATATGCTAGTGTTTTGATTTTTTTTTAAGATAATAATCATACTTATGAAATATGAATAAGTTAGAAGTAGTTGAATGTAATTTTTTAAATATGATTTAACAGAAGGAAGGTATTGCATTTGAGGTTTGGGCTAAAAGGATTAATACTTGTCCAAGGACTGACAGCCAAAATGGTTCCTTTCCTTGGTTGACATACTTGCATAGAGTTTTCTTCATCCAAATATGGGTACTTATGAATATTCTGATTTTGATGGGAACAACCGGACATATAGTGCAACATTTTAGAAATTTGTTTGATGCCTAAACTATTAGGATACAATTTCTGTGGGTAATGGGAATGTGGGCGAGACAAATATTCACCCTTGAGTGCAAAGAGTAAGAGATACTGGTCAAGCAAGGACAAGAGTCAGCCTCAGCGATAGTGTAGAGTGGAAGTGCCACCAGAATTTCTCTTGGGATTACAAATCTTTCTGCAAGAGTGCTCGCATAAACGGGAAGGTTTGACACTTTGGTGTTAGCTCTTGGCCACTTGGATTTATAGTATCAGCATGATTGAGTTGTTCACGCATATAATGATCCTAAGAAATTCCCTCGTGATAGTTTTCATTTCTTAAAATTGTGTGGAAACTTCATCATAAATGTACTTTCTGGTCTTGTTTGGAGCATGACTAAACTCATGGGTTTTGGAGTGGTAATCGTGATAGGATTAGTCATTTGTGTAATCAGGAAGTTCCAAGGAGGGTATATCTGGAAATTCTTTCAATGCAGGGCATTTCAGAATCTAGCTTATATAATTAGTACCAATTCAATACTATGGTATTGCGGCTTTATAATTTTTAGTTCACTATCCATCAAGCGCATGAGCATGTCTTTGCCATTATATTTGTGGTTAGTTATCTAAAGCAATAAATCTATGGATGAGGAATTTACAAAAATTTTGTGCAGGTGACAACTCCTCTTCTTTTCAAGCTGATTCCTGCTGTAGTGCATTTAGGCGTGCTATTGCGGTGGTTCTCCCCAGACAGTCTCGTTGAGGTAGAAACTTTTTATTTAAATTTAGATCCCATAACTGGTCAATGCACAACTATTTTCTGACAGGAACTAGAAATCAAAACGGAAAATACAGAAAATAGTACTAAAATGATAAAGGAGAATTACAATACCCCAGCACTTTTGAGAGGCTCAGGACTCCCCCAAGAAACTATTTCCAGAATAACTGCCTACTTCAAACCCTCTAACTCGCCTCTATTTGTAGCTGTGAACATAAAAAAACTCTCAATTAATTACAAATATGTCACTAGAAATATTCCTAATAAAATTCTCACTATTTACCTAATAATACTCTTTTAACATTTTCCTTGATTTTTACAAGCTTGATCAAAATTATCTTTATTTTCCTACTTGGTAATTCAGATTGGATTTAAAGGAGATATCATCCGCTCAGATAGTGTAAAGCAGCGTGTTATGTTGATAGTCCAGGGACCTCATGATTCATGACAGTCATTGAATGTCAACCAAAAATTGAGATATTGTTTTCTGCTCGAGGAGTCAAATTCTGGCCAGCTTATCCCCACGTGCAAGTGAAGTCGATTGAATCACTCTGTATATTTATTCATGTTTTTCTATCATATAAAGCGTGTCCAGAATCATTTTTTGTTACACTTAACTGACCATTAGATTGGAAAAATCAGATAGGGTATAAGAGATGAAGTGACCAGTGAGGTGCCAGTACAATGGAGGAACTATTGTAATTGTCTTCACTATGATTCGATTCTTTGTAAAATGTATTATAGTTTGGATACTACAATGGACTTTGTACCGCACAAAATAACTATTTCCTTTTTTGCAGTGTAAATATTGAATTTTACCAAGTTGCCATTTTAGTGTCATCTGATTTCAGCCGTTCCGTTGCCTACTACTTCAAGATTCTTCAGATGGCGTCGTCACCAGCAAAGGATCCAAGGCTGTAATGGTTGCTGAAGAATTAGGAAGAATTTACATTCATCATTAATGGAGATTTCTGTCTGCATTAGCATTTTATATAGAAAACCATTTTTACCTTTTGTCCTTTTGGGTGTCCAGTTGTTGGTTGATAGTTTCAGGGGAGTAAAGGAGAGAATCCTTTGTGGTTGAAATGTCGCTATTTCTTAAGATCTGGTTGCAGGAACTGGCAAACTGGCTCTGGAATTTCTTCGTGCTCTCTCTCTATATTAGATTTTTGTTGCCAATTCGTGAATGTGGTGGCTTTGGGCTGTCCCCAATTATCATTGTGTGCTCATAACCACAAAAATGGAAAACCTGAAATGGTTCTTCCCGCAAGAAGGAGAAGAAGCCATTTTGAGAGCGAGCTGCAGCAGTGATAGATTTTGGCCTAAAAACAAAAATGGCGGTGGTCCACTTGTTGCCTGCTTCTCTCTGGCACCCGCACCCTGTAGGGCGTGCTGTAATTTTCAATGGGCAGGAGGACACCAATTATTTGTTTTATGTTCTTGCAAAAAAAAAAAAAGGTATATATTTATATATATATATAGAAAGTTGGCACAGTTGGTAGATTTTAATCTTGACTTAGAAATGTTAATAGTACTTTAGTCATTGAGCTATGCTAAATTGGTAGGATAAGGAGTGATTATTTCTTTATTAAATTCATGATAATTAAGTTACACGCACTTAAAACTTAATTCCTTTGGGTAAGCTACTGCTAGATGAGGAATGATAAACATCTTGTTTCCCCTGATTTAGTGTAGTTTTCTTTCAATTGTTTTATACTAAAAAGAAAGAAGCAAAAAAAAAAAAAAAAAGATGCCTTAAGAGTTAAGGGTCAGACAATGGAATCAGGCCAGCCTTGCATCTTCCACATGTTTAAAAATTATTGCGTTTATATTGTGTGATGTAATTGTAGTAGTGCCAGGTGTTATTTTATCGTACAAACAACACCACTAAAAATTCGATAGTTGTTTATTTTCATGAAAAAAAAGTAACTTTTCACTCTCCCTTTGTGTTTTTCTCTCTTTGAAAATTTAATGGGGTCAGGAATAGATGGAAAGATGGGTGCTAACTAACCAATACTTAAATATTGCTATTACTATGGTATGTATGAGTTCCTCTCTTCAATCAAAATGGATATGTCATTTCCACGAGTTCACTAATTATATATAAAAGTAGTTTGTGGGAATGTGGACCATTTTACTCGGCTTCTATTATCTTGCTACCTCTTTTTTGGAAATTTAAAATATTTTTATACTTTTAAAAAATTTATTTTTGCAGGTATGTTTTGTATAATTTGTTCTCAACTTTTAAGTAGGGCATGCCATGTTGAATTTATTCAACCCTCTTCCTTCAAACTTTCAAGTGGTTTTCTTACAAATTCTTTTAAGATCAGAGACGAGGGAAATGAGCCCTAGAAAGCTTTTATCATTTTAATAGTCAACTTGAGCTTTAGTTAGAGGCTTGCATTTACAAGCATAGACATTGCAAAAAGAAATTATGTTCTTTATTATAAATGTGATTCTCAACTATCTTGTATTCAAATTTTTCTAATTATAAAGAAGAATTAAATATGTCTCGTTTTCAATATTTTGAAAGCTTCAATCAATTTCATCTTTTATGTTTAAAGCAAAACCTTCACATTTAGAATGAGTAGAATAATTAACATTTAAAAATGAGTTCACATCTCTTGAAATGAAAGGTTAAATATTTATCTCATCCTACTGCGTGAAGCATCATCACATCGAATATTTCACATCTCACACAATTAAAAGAAAAAACTTACGTGCAGAATCGTACCAGGATTATGTCATCAATTTTAAAGGTTTTTTAAATTTCAATTCGGAGATGAAATTGAAAAATGATATATATACCTTTTTACACCAAATCACAGATTTGAAAAAATTACAAACAAGAGCATCAGATGTACTTTATATGGTTCAGCTATAGACAGTCATAAATGATAATAAATGAAATTTATTGGGCTAGCAATTGAAGAGAGAACCCAGCTGCTAGCCTGCAAAGTAAGACAAAAATTGAAACAAAATTTAATTGGATCATCCAATACACAAAATAAATGCTTGTGATTGGACCCCTTTTTCTTAAAAAGAACAAAAAAGAATCTAAGAAATATATGGTTTAATATTTTCTCTAATATTCCAAACTCTTCTTTCAACTTTGTTCATAAATATTAATAGTTTGAATGGTATCTACAAGTTTTAAAAAAAGAAACTAATAAAGGAGGATAGGTTTCAAATTTGTATCTAACGTGTTCTTAATCCATTATACATTTTTAAAATTCAAGAACTTATTAAACACAACTAATAAAAGTTTAAAATCTATTTAATGCCTCAAAGACATATCAGAAACAACACAACAAAATGATTAACAAACTATTCTCAATTCTCAATGAGATGATAGAAAAGCTATAAATTGAGAACTAAATTTATTGAGTCAAAGAGAGATGATAATCGGTAAGTCCTAATTTGCTATTCCATTAAGTGAGAGGTTCCACTTCATTAAGTACAAATTGAAATTATTAGTAACTATAATATTGCATACCATAGCTAAAAACTCCTCAAATGATCTTATTTATCATATCAAAGAGCAAAACAAATTAAGTTTCCATATCAAAGAAGGCTCTGGTCATGATTTCATGTCACTGAAATTGCTCCATTAATGGCAGCTGGTAGTTGAACTGGCTTTGGAGTTGACAAACTGAGCTGCAAATCAGGTGCCTGATGATGGGAAATTGTCTTCTTTTTTCCATGAGAATGGTAATTCACTATTGAGCTTGAATTTTTTGATGGCTCATAACCAAACCAAATGGGCACTGAAGAATTATGATGATGATGATGGTGATTCAAGGTCATTTTGGGAATATTAATTGGAGTTGAATTTTTTGATGGAATCCCAAAGGAAATATTGGATGGAGAAGCTGGCAGGTTGCTGGTTGGCTTGGAGTTGGAATTGCTGCTCTCAACCACTTGCATTGTGAATTTGTCTCTTGCACCACCCTGTCAATTCATTAAACATATTTTTGTTTTTATTTGTTTTGTTTTGCGATATGGAAAAAGAAAACAAGCGGAAAATTACACAAATCATCCGTAAAATATCTTCTAAACTTTTAATTGTAAAATTAAATCCTCAAACTTTCCTAAATGAAACAATTAGACCTTAAACTTTTAATAGCAAAAATTTAACACTTGCTTTCCTTTAAGTGAAAAAATTGTACTAAATTAAGCTCTCAAACTTAAAAAAAAAGTAAGTCTAAAATTTACTCTATTTTTCTCTCCTATATTTCCCCCTCTCTATACTTTCTACTATTTTTACTTTCAAAAAATTGGATCTATTTTGACTGTTTAATTTTTACAATTAAACGTTTAGACACAATTTTCTAATTTGTGAAAGTTTAAAGGCATTGAAATTCTAGGAGTCTAATATTTTCATTTATGAAAATTTTAATTAGGGTTTAATTTTTACACTATTGAAAGTCTAATATTTTCATTTACTTGATTAACAATAAATTACAATATATCCCAATGATAAAAAAAAACTTAATCTTTAAGGAGTATTTGACTCGCGAGTTGGATATTTTTCATTGTCGTCTAAAATTATGAGATTGAGCTTATATTAAAAAAAGATATATATTTGACATGTGAGTTTAATTATTTGAAATTAAAATCTATTGACCAAACCCAGATACATGAACCTCAAATTATTGTAGCTAGTACCAATATTCTACTACATAATCAATTAAGCTAAACAAAAATCTACACTTCCTAATTAATTACTCTTAGCAAAAACATTTTCGTTGACTCAAATAGGCATTTTTAATTATTAGCCTAGCTAGATAATTATATCATACTATATATAGATAAACATTGATATTTATAATTAGCTATAGTTAGAGAGTACTACATCATCTTTTCCAGTAGTTTATGCATTTTGTGACTAGTCAACGAAAAGCAAAGTCTAAGCACATTACACACACAATTGACTTATTAACCTGAATTATAGTCTCTAACTTCAACAATAATATAACCATTTAATTAATTATTCCATTATTGAGAGAGATGAGAAATTAATTAGAGTGTTGTAAATATAATAATTTAGAGGGGAAAATGGAAATAATTACATCGAAAAGGCTGGGGCGGCAGTGCTTTTTTCTGGTGAGGGTTGTGAGTCTGAGGAAGTACTTTTGGGCATGGCTGGCCACTTGAGTTGGAGTTCTTGTCGTCACAAATTTCCTTGAGATTCCTCTCCAATCTCCTTTTCCAAGCTTCTCTAGCCCAACTAGAAACACTCTGTGCTCCTCTTCACTCCATGGCACACCTTAATTATCAAAAGCAAAATAATATAATATCGTTACCGAACCGAACAATATTGATAGCCACGTGATGGGTCTCGAGTTGATTATTCTCTGATTCAGAAGTGAGCGAGAATATAGTTAAATCTTTGTTTGAGCCAACATGAGCTTAACTCACAGTGGGGTAATTGACACTGTCTCTAACTTAGAAGTCATGAGTTCGAATATCCCATTCCTATATGATATTTGGAAACTTTACTTTTGTTTGCTCGCAATTTCTTTTAATCTTTACTCAGGACACCTCTGTAAACTTTTAGCTAGATTTCAAAGACAAAAACAAATTTTTGAAAATGTTCGATTAAGTTTTAGATTTTAAAAATGTTTAAAGAAAGCATATATATGCAAAATATCAAACAGGGTCTAAATATATTATAACTTGTCAACTTAGACGGTTAGGTCGTCTACCTAGTGATAACGAGAAGTGGTGACACAAGAAGAATGGAGGATCGCCCTCCTGAAGAATATTAAGAATATAGATAAATAGTTAAATATACCGTAACCCACTTAACTAGGGGTCTGAATGTTGGGAGTTTGAAAAAGTTACCCTTTTTTCTCTCGTGGGTTTTGGTGATGAGGCCATCAGAGAGATACCCAGTTGCCAATTTAATGTCAGAAGAAGAAGTAGAAGAAGTAGAAGAAGAAGAAGGCAAACAATCCAAGCTGAAGCTCTTCTTCATGGCTGCTCCATCAAGTTGAACTCCAAATAGCTTAAATCTCCCTCTAATGGTGCAAGTTCTTGAATTGTGACCCACCTTCCCACAGTGTGAACATTTCCTCCCCATTCCCTCTCTCTCTAGAAAAGCACAAAACTTTGGAAGAATTTGGGCATATGGGAATCTCAAAACAATTTGATCTCAAAATATAATATAAAGGGTTAGGTTGGAATATATGAGATCAGTAATTTAAATTAAATTAAAGTTAATGGGGGTTATTTTGAAGACATATGTCCTAGGTTTTGTGTAGTGTGTCGGGTGTGTAGCTCTCTCATTGGATGAGAAATAAGAAACCCTTATCATAAAAATGGCATCTTTTTTTTTCTTTCCCAAACTGGCACATGACAAACGTGAGCTATTTTATTTGTCTCTCTGTTTTTTCCCCCCTTTTAATGCCATTTGTGAGTATTCTACAGATATATGGACCCTTTTTTTTTTGGTGGGGTGTGACAAAAAAATTCCCACCTTACATAGCCATATGGAATAGGGAGAGAGAGAGAGGAATAGGGAGTGATGTTGATCAACCAACGCCAATTTTAGTTGAGATTGGCCAAAAAAGGTTGAAATTTCTTGCATCTTGGCACAAAAGAACAAACTTTTTGCAAACATATTGGTGAGAATTGGCAATGAGTTGATATCAAGATTCAACATATGGCCACCCTACATTGTTTTGGGAGAGAGAGAATCTTTTGAATCAAATACGACCACATATGGGTAGTGAACGATTATCGTAATCTTTGTCGATAAAGGGTACGTAGCACTACCATGACCATGTAGTTTTTTAGATTCAAATATATTTCATCCTAACATACTTACATTTAAAAGTTCTGTTTAAAACTGTCGCTTTTTGTCTGTGTTTTTCTATTGCAACAGAATCTCTCGTTGCTATCTCCAATTATTCTGAGTGAAAGTGAAAATTTGAAATACAACACTATATTTTCATTACTCTTTTTTTTTTTTTTCTAGAGATGAATCTAGAAATTAAAACCTATATTTGGGAAGTGGGGACATACCATATAGGTGTCTAAAGTTCATTAATTGGGTATATGAGAACAAGTAAGGGTTGGACCAAATCTAACCCCTCAATATTGTCTGTATCAATACCTCTAATTCTTCTTAAAAACAGTTGTATTGTTTGTCCAACAAGAGACAAATTATATTGTAATTAAACCTAGCTAACTCCACCTAAACGACCAAACTTGTCCCAAAGATATCATTACAAAGGTAGGTGTGAGAATGAGTTACTAAGGACATGTTTGGTAACGTTCATGTTTCTTATTTCTTGTTTCTGTTTCTTCATTTTTAATAATGAAAAAAGAGAACTTTATGACTCCAACATCCATGAATTCAAGTAAGATAAAAACAATCCATTTATTTATGTTTTGAAATAAATTGGAAATAGAAACCTAAAAGAAGAATCTTGTTTCGATTATTTCCAAAATTTATGTACAATTTTGAGAATGGTCAAAAAAAATGAAAAATAAGAAATATAGTTAGTTGCAAAATGCTAAGATTTCTTAAGAAAATTAGAAACAAAAAAAATAAGAATGGAGAACGTTACCAAACGACCTATATTGAATAAACTATGCTTAGTTTCGCAGCAAAGTTTAATAACTTTTTCGAATTTTTTTATCTCACTTCCCCTAATACAAGTAGCTAGGTTTATGTCTCTACTCACCAATAAATTAAAGCTACCAAAACTCACCTAAAAGGTCAAAACTTCAAGATACATGAGCTTTAATTTTCTCGAGGATTAAGCATTGGGATGGTGTAGTTTTTTTCACCCCCCATTTACCTCTTTTTACTTTTTACCAACTTCAATCACACCAATAAATTCTTTTTCTTTCTAACAAAAGTTTACATAGAGAAAAAAAAGCCTTTCTTTTTTCTAAGTAGTTTGACTTAATCACCCCATCCTTTTTTTCTCTAAAGTATATAAACAAAGTGGACTTTAATGCCTTACCTGCCATGACTCATTTTGTTTAACATTAAATCTAAGATATCACATACAAATTGCACCAAATTGACCACTACTAATATCTTCCCAGAAAAAAGTTTTTTTTTTTCCTTTTTGGAGGATTATACATACCCGCTTAATTTCTTGATAAAGATATTATTTTTTAAAACCGAGGTTTATTCGTTACGTAAGTATACAACTCAACGAGAAATTTCTTTATTATTGTCCAAATTTTCTAATGAATCAAAGATAACCATTTGTTTTAGTATAAACAGTCATTATCTGTTCTTCTATCGTGAGATGGGTGTTGATCGGTATCGCTTGAACAACTCACGTAATATATATATATAAATAATCAAGGAAAATATTTGGCTCATTAATGGTAAGGAACAATCTTGTGCTCACCACCATTAAATATTTGACAACTAAGAGAACGAAATGCAAAAACAGTGATTTTTTATAAAAATTAATGAGTTGTCAATTTTTCAATAGTTTAATCCTCACCGTTGAGGAGCCAGGTATTTTCCAATAATCAATTGAAATAATTTAAATTAATTCCTTGTTGAGTCTAATTATTCAAATCCCCTAGTTGCTTCTAAGAAGGTATTTCACACTTTGAATGGAGCTTATTCTTTATTTGTTCAATTTCTTTTAATGTTTATATAGATCAAGTTGAGTAGATAGCTCAATTATAAAATTAAATCCCAAATTGTGATGATCTCACACCATTTTAGAATATAATATACATTGTTTCCATATAGTTTGTCATATGGCGCGTAAATGCAGAAAAAATTAAGGTGATATCATGTTTAATTAAGTACTAAGTCTAAAATATTAAACATTATAAACTTATAAAGTATTATCACTAAAAGTATAACTTATACGAACAAGTTTTTGAGTGCTATTAAATTATTAAAAATCCTTCTAGATGAAGCGTAGAATGGTTTTAAGTTGGGTGGTTTCACAATTAAATTTCATTGATTTGGTACAAAATAGACCAAATAAATAGCTAACATTAAAAAAACGATAAGCATATTGCAAATAATTATTATTTAGAACAAAGAAAATATTAAAAAAATCATGTTTGGGAAATAATGGATGTGTAAGATAATGTTTTATATGAAGAGGGTAGACCCATATGCTTCTCCAAAGTCCAATGTTTCTATTAATTAAATAGTTTTATAGACAATTAATCAATTAACATCATTAGCTAAGTTAAAATATGAATGATCCATTTTCAAATATAATAATTAAAAGGTTATTTTGGAGATAAAAAGTAATCAAATGGGCAAAAGTTAAGGTTGGTGAATAAGAAGAGACATCATTAATTAATTTTCCACCTTCAATTCCACAATTAATAATGTATTCAAATGTTGGAAATGATGGGGCCAAGTCAACATTTCAAACCACAATTTCTAAGGTAATTTACATTGAGGGGTATTAATTAATTAAGCCGTTTATGTGCTACCATTACTTGACTAATCTGTGTATTTAAACATTAATCATAAAGTTTAAAAAAGTATTTGGGTCCCCAAATCTTCTTCATATTTTATTTGGTGAATTTTTGCTTTTAAATGTTATGATTTGGTATCTCACCTTTCACAAATGTGTATGATTAAAAAATTTTACTTGGGTACCTAAAATCTCATAGCTATTGATCTCTTTTTTTTATTTTTAATTAATCAGAATCGATGATGCGTAGTTCTTTCATCAGAACATGGTTTAAATTTGAGACCTCAAGATAGGTGGTACTCCCATGACCCCAAGCACTTGCCAGTGCACTATTTTGAAGGACCATTTAGTCATTTAATCAAAAATATGCACAATTTTGAAACTCAACATATATGGTACGGAATAGTGAACGTGATAAGTTACTTTCAAAAACGTACTTTGACCATTTTAGTTGTTTTATTTTTATTTTTATCTCATTATTTTCGATCATAATTTTAGCATGACACTTCATTCACTAAAATTATTGAAATATAGGCCATATATTTGTATTAAATGGTTTTCATTGTGTAATTTGTATTAAAATTTTACAAATATGGATTTAATTAGTCACTCTTTAAAAGTACAGAGACCAAAACGGAGTTTTGAAAGTACAATAACTAACCTGAACAAAAGTTGAAAGTATAGAGACCAAAATAAAAGTTTTGAAGTATGGTGTGGACCAAAATGAAGCAAAGTAAAAATACAAAGCAAAGTAAAAAATACAGACTCAAATAGTTTTTAAATGTTAATTTAATTACTTTTTTATTAATTTAATTTAAACCAAAATCATACCAACTTGAACATATGTCAACTAGTTAATGCATATATCACTGAATAAGAAGTTAAAGATTCGAACCTCACTCTCACAATGTTTAAAAAAAAAAGAAATTAATATACTTCATCTATGAAAACAATATAATTGATGTTATATTTTTTATTTGTTATTATTCAATTATATTACAAGTAGGACTTAATGACAATCATTGAAATAATATTAAATAATTCATGGAATATGATCAAATAATTATGTAATATTTAAGGCATTAAATACCACTATTTGTTACAATTTTCATTAATCTCAATAATCAATGGAAGTTAAGTAGGATGGTTGAGTATTATTTCCCTTGACATTAAGCTTAATTAATTTTACTTATAGTTTAAGAATGATTAAATTATATATGTGTGATGTCACTTGAAAATAGGTGGATTACTTAAAATATAAGCAACCAAGATGAAATTGTTCTCATTAATTAATATAAATTAGCCTTTTTAGGTTTCTTGCAGCATCTAACCTCTTTTATTGATTCCCGAAAGTGACATTTAAGCTAAAATAAAAATGGAAGTTTTCCTTGTATATAATTTATTAATTTTCTTAAATCTTTAAATGGATAATAAAACTTAGATTTTCATTTTTTTAGGAACCGTTTGGATTTTAAATTTTGGTTACTTTAAACAGCCTCCATTTATAAGAATTCTTTTTTTTTTTTCGGTCTAACCTCACTACATTTGATTGCACAAAATTTCTTTCGAGATAGGTCTACTTCTCCAGACGGTTTTTAGACCCATCCGACAAAATATATAGAAAGCATTAGGAAAAAGATCTTTTGACTGACGACTTTTGCTGCATCGAGAAAGGTATAATTCTTGTAGTGTGCCAAGGAAGCACATAGAAAATTAATTATTAGGTAGGAGGTTATCATAGATTCGAAGCCATTCTTCGTTTCTTCATTCCCTCAAATCCAAATGAGTCATTGATTATAGTTCCTTGAAAGTCTTTTTAATTAGTTGGTCTATGTCAAGAATCAATAAAAAGAAATGACACCACTTATTTTATTTTAATGTTGTTTAACATCTCCTTATATAATGATTAATTTATAGTTCATGAATAGTATGAACATAAGGTAGATATCACTCGCTTAAAATTTAAGAAAAAAATATGACCAAAAGCGAAATTTAAGAGAAAATTTACACCTATCATCATCCAATAATATAATAACGAGTCCAAAATTTATTAAAATTTTCAAGATTAAAATATAGAACATTTCAAATGTCGGGAGTCAAAATAAAAATTAGAAAGATATTTAATTTTAACCAAAACATGATTTCACGAAACTTGTCACAAATCTTAATTAATTAAGTCTATAAAGTAACTTGTGAACTCATCTTACATGAGTAAATAAATTGTTGGAGAGCAGAAAAAAACAAACAAACACTGAACACAATTGCAAACTCAGCAATTTTGGAATATAATGTCTTAATTTTCTAAATTAGGGAAGGTAATATTATCTGTCCACATCTTTATCTAACCAAATAAAACAAATAAATAAAAAGCAAAAACCTTCACAAACCAAACCCTCTAATTATAAGCAACATTTTTGGTATTTATATGATTGAAATTAACTAAGCCAAATTTTGCACACTTAGTCAAAAAAGTGGACCTTCAAAGGTCTTGTATTATATACCCATCACAACTATTTTTTTATGGTAATGAGCTCATTAATGTGTATCTAATTCATCACCATATCATAATATATATTTTAATGACAAATAAATCTAGCGCGTTAAAAGGTGGGCGTGTTTTCTATTGTTGAAATTATTTATTTGAAAAGGAAATTAATTTTATATTGTTCGAGTAAAATTGACCGTTTTGCTGTTTTTAAAATTATGAAATTTTATCTTTAGTTAAAAAATTTATTATTAGTCTCTCAATTAATTACTAGTCTTCTGTAATAAAATTAAAATATTGTTTTGAAAATTACACAACAATTTTTTAAAAATCATTTCCAATGATCAACAGTTGAGTTTGGCTCACCATTTGCAATTTCTTAGGGTTGTGCTGCATGCATATAACTCCACCATATAAGATTTTATTAACTGGTTTCACATTAAAAATTTCTACATGGTTGGTTGTTGAAGTTCACACCTCACAATCATATAAATTATGATTAAACAACAATTATAATTTCCTTAAGATAATTGGTTTTTAATTATAGTTGAAGCGTCCTAATAGAACACTAATTGAAAGAAATTATCACCCAATAACATTTTGGATTTATGTATTTACATTTTAGGTTAGTTTTAAGAATTTCCTTCTTGTCATATTTAAATTAAAAAATCTCTATTAATTTCTTACACGACTATTAAATTTGTTTTTTAATGAGTTGCTAAACTTTCAATAATTATTCTTTCGTAAGAGACTAATTTAAATATTATGTGGCAAGTTGATTTTGAGTAAACTCAAATATTTAGAGGCACGATGGTTAAACTAATGGAAGTAATACAACGTCTCGATAGACAAAAAAGACTTTTTAAACTACAAAAATTAGATAGACACAACTTTCAAAAGTTTAGATAATTATGAAAATTATGAAAGCTCAAACTAAACTTATAATTTAAGTTGCATGTTATTTGTCCTATTTCTCAATTTCTTTTAAAATTTGGAAGTTGATACACTATTGGGCCTAGGCCGTCAAGAACGCCATAGACGCCTTCTGTGGGCCTCTCTAGCAAACTGATAATGGGCCAATTTTAAGCTACTGGGCTGCAGTGTAGCCCAAACCGTGACTCTGTTACCACGTCGCTCTTGTAATTTAGACAAAAACAGGGGTGAAATTACATACGTTGTCAAAATTTTGGGATACTAATTTAATTATTAATAATATTTACATGGCATTTGTCTGAAATTTACAAAATTGGTCAACGGAGATTTACTATTATGCCCCTCAATTTTTTTAAAGCTATTTTTTTCTTGATTAAGAGGGTGAAATTTTTAAAAAGTACATAATAAATTTGTATTATGCAGTAAAATTTATCAAAATAAAATGTTAAGCAATCGTATTTTTTGCCCTATAAATTATAATCGAAAAACGTAATAAAAACACGTGGTATATGTTAAAGAATCCTAAATCTTTTACTAAAATTGTTTAAATTAAAAATTATCCAAAACACATTCTAATTCAGAGAAAGAGATAGAAGAGGAATCAGAGACCGAGTAGGAAGAGGATTTAATTACCATAATAAATAAGCCTAATTTACACACCATTCATTCACAATCATCTCTCGCCGGAGCAAAAGAAATCCGCCCATCACCGCCACTTCCTCCGCCGTCGTAGGTAGCTAATAATGGCACCAATAAGGTCCTTCAAAGAATATGATCTCTCAGCCTTCGATTGGGACAAAACTCCAGTTTTAGGCAAAGGTTCTCATGGCAAAGTCTTCCTAGGAGAACTCGATCTCGGCAGCGTCGCCATCAAAGTCGCTCCATGTCGAGCAGCTTCTTCACTCGTCAAAGAGAAAGCGATTCTCAAACAGTTCATCGGATGCTCAAAAATCGTTCAGTACATTGGCGACACCGTTACTAAGAAAGGAGACGACGTTGTTTACAGTCTGATATTGGAGTATGCTACTGGAGGTACTTTGGGTGACATTATCAGAAAACAGGAGAAAATTTCAGAGGAAGATGCCAAAAAGTACCTTCGAATGATACTTCAAGGGCTTTCTTGCATTCACGCTAAAGGGTTTGTGCATGCTGATCTCAAATCGGACAATATTCTTGCGTTCCGCTCAAAGAGTGGAAGAATGAAGCTGAAAATAGCAGATTTTGGACTTTCTAGGATGTATGATGAGAAAGAAGAGAAAAGTTTATGTTGGAATTATTACAAGATGAGCTTTGTAGGGACAGCAAAATACATGTCTCCAGAATCTGTCTTTGACATCGTTAAACCCGCACTCGATATTTGGTCTCTTGGTTGCATTTTTGTTAACATGATGACCGGGAGACACGTTTGGAATGATTGCAAAGATAATAAAGAGCTGATTTCGAAGCTTATATATGAAAGAGAAATACCAACAATACCAAAAGAATTATCCGAGCTAGGAAAGGATTTTCTCGAAAAGTGCTTTGAGAGAAATTACGAAAAAAGATGGTCAGCAGATATGCTACTTCGACATCCTTATTTGGTAGAAGGAAAAAAAGTTACGAACAAAATCAGCTGTAGAAGTCTTTCTATTTTGCTTTGTACAGGGGCCTTAGTCATTCTTCTTTTAGATTGCTTTCTTATTTTTCAGTTGTTTTCTCTTAAAATGTAATCACAATTTTGGAGAATGGTTATTATTATTATTGTTATTATTAATGAAAATGAGTGTTTGATTGTGATTTTGTTTTTTTGGTCAATATCTATTTTCATAATAACCACTCATAAAAATTTAACAACTTTTTTATTTTTTGAAAAAGAAAAAATTTACTTGAGACTAATGGTGGTGAAAAACTTGCTATTGAGTGAACTAAATATAAATTTTAATAAATATACTATTCCATATCTTAGGAATCGAAAATGAAAACACAATAATTATAAATTATATAATATTGTAAAATAATAATTATACAAAATTTATAACATATAAATTAATTAATTAATTAATAATATTTTAGACTCAACTAAATATTTAATTGGTATTACTACTGGTTTACAAATATATTAGTAAACGTATTTTAAACCATTTTTAAAATTAAGATATTCAATTTTCAAATCTACAAACATATCCGAAAACACTGCAATTGCAAACATAGAATAAACCCTCTTTTTCATTAAATCTCTTCTTTTCATATTTTTGTTTCCAAATCATCAATTACACCTTAAATTTTCATTAAATTCTTACCAACTCAATAAAATATCATGGAATGAAAGTTTATTCCAACTCAATTTTAACATTCACATACGGTGGTAAAAGATGAAATTGAAAATTTTATCAAAACGAAAACATTTACTTAGCCAATAATCTGTTATATAATCCCAGACCAAAAATCATATTTAGAGCTATGATTGTGAACAGGCTGAATTTAAAAAATTGTTTAAAGGTAAATGAGGAGATATAAAATTTCGAAACTTACCTAAAGCATAAAAATGTATTAAAAAATTTTGCATCTTCAAGATTAAGGCCTTAATTTAAATATTCAATTTACTACGATTTTTAGTTTTTTAGAACTGCATTTATAGCATAAATAGTATAATTGATGCAGTATAAAATTTCATACATTATTCTTTCTGAGTTTCGAATATAAAATTATTTTTTATTGGTCCATATAACTTGACTTAGAGTTCAATATTATGAACTCAATTCAATTATTCCTTTCTATTTTTAATAACTAAAATTATCTGCCAACATGAATAAGGTATATAGCACGTACTTCTTCTTTCAAGGTCGGAAAAGAATTCTAACTAAAGAATTTCCAATGATGAATCCTTATTTACATGATTAAATCTATATACTAAGAGTCCAAACAATTATTAAACTATTTAATAAAAATAATATAAACATATCATAATAAAACGGGTTCCATCCTAAGTGAAAAATGTGATCATCTTCTTTATCTATACTATGACGATGTAATAAAAAAACACATGATATGTCTTTTTGAAAAGTAGAATTAAAAAAAAATGTTTCTTCTTGAAATTACATTATTTCTGAATTCTTATATTTTTATCCTTATATTTCTATTAATAAATAATATTTGTTTTTTTACACAATATGCGAAGGTAAGGATTCGAACTCACACTATTTTAGTTAGACGTCTTAGGTTCAAGTTGACAATAATAATATTTACTTTAACATATTAGTTTTTTTTTTTGAAGATTTTTATATTTTATTATTATTATTTTTAGATTGATTTTGTGAGGTCCTCAGCTTATCTATAAAATACATTAAATTAATTTTGGTAAACTATTATTTACATAAAAAAAATGGTTTGATTAGATTTTTAGAGGATGTATTTAGACAAAGTTTAATAATAACAATAATAAAACATAAACATAACAATTCTTCATTCAAAATCTTATTCGTCCCAGTTGTTTATGAAAAAAAAACAGTGGATTTAAGTTTAAATTAAAAAAGAAAAACCGATTCCATTAGGTTTTTAAAGACTCGCTATATTTAAGTTCAAATTAAAATTGTCATGCATGATAATTAATATCTATTTATCATAAGTTCGAATCCCCTTCCTATTTGTTGTATTAAAGTTCAAACTAATATTAAAAAAAATCGTGAACTTAAATCTCGTCAACACAATTAAGTTTAAATTTAAAAAAGTATTTAAGTTTAAATTAAAAAGAAAGCCACGAACGGGTCTCCTCTTTACTCTTGAAAACCACTCGTTATTATTTAATATTTTTTTAAAAAATACTCTATTTTTTAAATCATAATTAAATCCCCACGCTTTTACTAAAAATATTCAAATGAAAATTATCTTTTAAATTTTAATAAAGTGTTTAAAATTCAAAACTATCCTAAACACATTCTAATTATTATAATTCATTAAAAGATAGAACTCCAAAGAAAAGAGTAATCAGAAACCGAGTAGGAAGAAGTTTGAATTACCAAGAACAAATAAGCCCAATCATCACACTCTCGCCGGAACAAAAGTACTCCGCCGATCACCGTCGCTTCCTCCGCCGTAGGTAGCTATAATGGCACCAACAATTCCCTTCACAGAAGAAGATGATATCTCAGTCTTCGATTGGAATAAAGCTCAATTTTTAGGCAAAGGTTCTTATGGCAAAGTCTTCTTAGGAACTCCCACGAAGCCCGATCTCGGCTTCGTCGCCATCAAAGTCGCTCCGTTGTGGCAAAAAACTTCCTCACTCATCAAAGAAAAAGTGGTTCTCGAACAATTCATCGGATGTCCAGAAATCGTTCAGTACATTGGCGACGCTGTTACCATAAAAAGAGACGACCATTTAGTTTACAATTTGATATTGGAATATGCTGCTGGAGGTACTTTGGCTGATATTATCAAAAAACAGAAGAAACTTCAAGAAGAAGATGCCAAACAGTATCTTCGGATGATACTCCGAGGGCTTTCTTGCATTCATGCCAAAAGCTTCGTGCATGCCGATCTCAAACCGACTAACATTCTTGCGTTTCCTTTAAAGGATGGAAGAATGCAGTTGAAAATAGCAGATTTTGGGCTTGCAAGAATATATTATAAGAAAGAAGAGAGAGATTTTTATTGGAAGAATAATAAGATGAAGTTTGTAGGGACAACAGAATACATGTCTCCAGAATCCGTTGTCGGAAACATTGACCCTAGCCTTGATATTTGGTCTCTTGGTTGCATTTTTTTAAATATGATAACTGGGGAATGTGTTTGGAATGATTGTCTAACCTATGAACAACTGATTACAAAACTTGTATACGAAGGAGAAACACCAACAATACCAGAGGAATTATCTGACCTAGGAAAAGATTTTCTACAAAAGTGCTTTGAGAGAAATTACGAAGAAAGATGGTCGGTAGATAGGTTATTCAGACATCCTTATTTGGTACAAGAAAATAAAATTACTAACAACATCAACTTCAATTCTCTTTTAGATTACTGTCTTAACTTTTTAGACGTGTTTTCTCTTGAATTGTAACCCAATTATTATTTATGAAATTAAGTATTTGATTGTGATTTTTGAAGTGATTAGCTTCCAAAAATTTAACAGCTTTAATTTTTTAGTTTTTTTAAACATAAAAGTATCTCTTTTTGTACTTAGATTATTTTTCATAACCATATATGGGGAATGTACAAGGACACCAATTGGCAGCGGTGATGGTGGAGAAGTTTGTATTGATCAATGAATTGGAGGAATAAATGAGAAATATGAACATTAACCTAAAATATAAATCAGTAACTATAAATTATCAAAACGGTCCTAAAATTAATTTTTCATAAACTTACATTATATGGTATTCAGTAATTTGTAAAAAAAAAAAAAAATAGTGGAGGTTTTCTAATTCTTCTTTCAAAATTCAAAAAAGTTGGCAAAAGTATTATGATAGTTATTCTCTTTCTTTCTTTTTTCTTTTCTTTTTTTTTTCCCTTTTTTCCCCCTTGAAAATGTAGCTATTCTCTTTAAGTGAACTAGGTTTTCATCTAAATTTATGATAAACTCAATAAGTTTATCCTTAGTTAATTTTAATATTTATCAACAATATAGTATAATTAAAAGGAAATGTCAAAATGTAAGAGATTAAATTTAAAATCTTAAAATAATAGAAACTAAATAAAAAAATATACACAAATATCAAATATGTTAAATTAGAGGTGGGGATTCAAATATTCGATCTTTTTGAATCTCGAGCATGCAAGCTATGCTTAAGTTGATACTAAATATACTAAATGGCCTCTAATGTTTGAAATAATTCTCAATTTAACACTACTTAATGTATTAAAAAATTTCAGTCACATCCTTATATTAAAATTTACTAACAAAACACTGATGTATATATTTAGATCCACGAACATGTCAATTGGACATCTAAATTAGAAGAAATCGATTTTACTAATTGGTAGGATGGATTTTTTTTTTATGAGTGGATTGAGTTTCAGATGCCAAGCAGCATTCAATTAACACAAAATATAGTAATAATTATTTAATTATACATTAACTTTATGTTAACAATATTTTCATGGAAATACTTCATTGAATTTTTAAAATATATTAAGGTGTTGTTTACTTATGCTAGGAATTGAAATACTAAGAAATTTGAACGAAAAATCAATGGAAATGAGAATTTGATTTATTTAATGGTGTTTACAACCAATTTTATGGAATCCAAGATGTGCTAATGTTAGAATCAAAATAGAAATCATATATATAATCATTACTGCACTACTTTTTTCTTAGTTTAAGCTAATTATAAATACATAAAAATGAATGGATGAGGTTTTAGGTAAAAAAGATATTACATTTACTCCTTTTTAGAGAAATAATTATCAAGTTTAAAGTAAGTCTCATCCATCGATTTGTCTTAGAGATAAATGAAATGAAAATTTTTTACCCAAAAGATTTTGAAAACCACGTCCTCATTAAACACGTTGGAAAAATTGACAACTTAATATTATTTCTAAAAAATATTTGTTTTGGTATTTCTTTTACCAATCCAAATAGAAGTATTTTCTTCTTATTTTTTAACAAGCCTACTAAAAATGAGTCCTACGAATCGAAACGAATATAGTTCATCGATAATCTATAGGTTCAATCTCTCACGGCCACCTCTACATGTTGCACACTCCCAAAAAAAAAAGAAAAAACTAAAAAACAAATAAATAACTAAAAAACAAATAAATAAAACATATTTTGCTTGATTGGTCTTGGTGTCTTTTCAACTGAGCACACCCCGAGTCTGAGTCATGGGGAGGTCCGGATATTGGCGACCCACCACGGGACCTCTCTCTGAACCCGATTGTGGAGCTGACATAAGCTTTCTCAACTTGCCCATTTTTGCGAAACGGGTGCGCTTTTGGCTCAACTCGGTCGCTTTGGACATGGGGTCCAAATCCTCAAAACCCTTGTCCACACTTGTCCTTCCTCAAGATTTTTTTGCTTCAAATCCACCCCAGTTTCTGCCTCTGAAATGCACAAAAAGCAAACCCAAGTAGAGAAAAAAGTTAGCAATCAGTATGTCTTTAGTTGCAGTACGGCGTGTGAAATGAAAGCAAAATGGGTCAGCAAAAAGACCAACGAGGCATTGAATCTGAACTGTTTTCCTGTTCTTATTTTGGTTTTTGCAGTGTGTATTAGCATATCTCTGTTTGGGTTTGCAGGCAGCCAAACGGAGGAGACCCCACGCTCCAAATTTTTACACTCAACCATGTGGTGGTAAGTAACTGGTAATGTGGTAATGGTAAGAAATCCATAAAACTTTTTCACTGTCTTTTTTTCTCTTTTGTCATTGTGCTGTCAAAGAATTTGCTCCTGGAAATCAATCTCGAGCTTCGGGTTACTTCATCCAACGTGGAGGCTGAATGATAATTACACTTGAGTTTAATGAATGTACTGTCTTTTCTGGGAAAACTCTTTTCCCTTTTAACCATTTCAAGGACCGTACTACTTTGGAGCATATTTTGTCCATTAAACTCCCGCATTAAAGACTCATTAGTTAAGAATCAAGAATCAAGAATCAAGACCCTTCTCTTTCTTCTTTCTTGGGTAATTATTAAAACCCTCTTTATAAGTGAGAGAGGTCTTGCTCCTGAACCTGAAATGTTAGTTCACTTCGACAGGACAGAAATCGGACTAAGACTTCAGCGACAATTGAGCTGCTAGAAATTAAACCCATTTAATGGTTTCACTTACCAAGCCTGCAGAGCAGAGTAAAAGGCAGACGGCATTCTCTCTACTAACAGGCAACAGCTAGATGGAAGAGTTGTGCCAGCATTGAGGTTTAGGTCCACATGATTTCCTCCAGTTATTTCTGGTCACTACCAATATCCCATTATAGCTGCCTGGTCAGAGGTGAAAAGAAAATCAGAGAAAGGATCTAGAAATGGGGGAAAAAGTGGGGGCTGTATCACATCAGATCCAACGTCAGAGCTCTGGATTTAAGAAGGCATGGTAATGGAAAATGGAATCCTGATCCAAGAAAGGAAGTCCATCTGATTTCAATGTTTCATCGTTATGGTGCTACTTAATGGATAACCATGATGTGAATCATTAGAGAAAGATATACTCTCATAGTTTAAACAGTACATAGAGCCAAAACAAGCAGATGGGTGCTAGTCTAATGCCTACTTGCACCCAATAAATTCGTCAAAGATATCTCACAAGATTTTCTCGTCGGTTTTGGGTTTGCTTGCATCATCATTTTCAGGCTCCTCCCTCTCTTTCTCTGAGACTATGTCTGTTCAAAAGTACACTGTTGAAACAGTAAAGTTTCTCTCTTTTTTCACATTTGATTGCCTTAAGTTCTTAGTTGTTTGATTCTGAAGAGAAAGTGTGATACTTTGTTCCTGTATTTACTCTTGTTTCGCATCACTTTGGTTTTCTTGTCCAGTATAGCGAAAAATAAAGAGACTTCGTCTGAAAAATGGTGCTGAGAAGACCTGGCAGGAACAGGAGTTTCGACAGAGAGAATCCAGATATTTTGATTATGATGATTGCAGTGGATCAGATAATAAGAGGTCGTGAGCAGGACAAAGGAGATGGCGCAGAGAGGAAAGGCATGGGCCCTCTAAAGCCTGCAACAGGAGTGAGTGGTTCTGCACCCAAGAGCAATTCTCTCTCTCTCACTCTCTCTCTCTCCCTCTCTCCACCCCCTGGTTTTCTCTTGTGCGGCTCTTGTTTCTTTCTAATCTTATTTGGTGGGTCCATTTCCTCCATCTCCACCTTCATGCAGAGTCCTGTTTTGGCCTCTTCACACTCTCTTTCTTCCTTTTAATGGTTCTCTGAGATGGGTGTCATTCATTTTCCAGAGCTGTACGTTTTTTGAGCTTTAAAGTTTGCGAGCAGAGATTGAGGTCATGCATCTCGGTGGTGTGGTGTCCAATGCTCCAAACTTCAGCTTCTCGGGGTTTGGGCACTTGAAGCCATTCCATTCTCCTTTTTTCATGCAAAACTTTGAATCACTTTCTTTTACCATTGCCTTTATAATGTTGTGATTTAGCAGAAGCCGGAAAAGTGGGAATACAGCAGCGTCAGTCATTATTTCTTTTCTGCTTGTTTTTTTCTATAAAAGCAAAGCTTCTTTGCCACTTTACCTGGCTTTTCACCATGGCACCTTTTTATGGAGAAACAACAAACTACCAAGTCCTTTGAATCCTCTTCTCTTCTTGGGGGTTGTCTTTGAACTCCTGTGAGTGAAAAAACTATAAAGCATGTCAATCAGTGTAGCAATCTTCTTGCCTTTAATACTTTGCAAGCTTGAAGTTCATCACTAAGCCATCACATCCATCTATTCGCCTAGAAGTTCAGGACCACAGTGTTATTTTCAAAAGATTTTGTGGGGGGCTTTCAGTCTATGCTTCTCATCCTATTTTGGCTGGTAAAGATAAATCTAATAGAAGTTTTATTTCTTTGTCATTTTATGCTAATCAGTGACCAATCTTTATGTTCTGCCTTGTGGTTTACAGAGTGAGTTTTGATGTTGGAAATTGTTTCATTCTGTCTTATATGGTGTGCTTGTTTTCTCTTCTGCATTGAGCGTCAGTATAAATTGTTGAGCTTGAGACTTTAGATTATCAATATAAATTTCTGGACGGTCATTATGTGCTATATGCTTTTAATTGTTATGGCAACTGGGTCTTAACATACTTAGTACTGCTTATTTCTTCTCCCAGTGTTGCATAAAATGCAAAACATTATTAACGAATTTTGCCCCGTTGCTACAGTGAATTTCGGATGTCTGGATTTAATTGCGAGTTCTTTCCTTTCCTTTTGACTGGGGAGGGTTTATTCTTGGGTTAATACAAAACATCTGGTGTTGCATTTCACTTATAATGACATGAGATGTTACCCTGTTGCCAGCTTGTGCTCAATGAGCGACTTCACTGGCAAAACTTGTTTTGTAAAGGTATCTAACTTGGAAATACAGTTGGAAATGCGGATGAAACAAGAACATAGTTCGAGTTTGCTAACCTGAGCTGTTGCTGGACCATGAAGAAAGGTTGTTTTGCATCTGTAATGCTCCACGATATGGAGCTATAATGACTCGGTGTATGCTCCGGTTGACATGACGAGCGCAAATTCTGTCATTGTAGGTGAGGTCCTGCCCTTTGTCGTTCTGAACTCAGTTGTTATGACCAATTTGTTTGACATTAATGACCAGAGCCTTATTGCAGCTGGATTTCCTATCCTCTTGACTCTGCGAGAATCTGGATGCTCTGCTCTTGCTACTACTGATAATCATATAGTCAATCAACTGGAGTCTCCAATGCCTACTGCCCTGCAACAGATCGTTGTGGGGGATGCTTCCCAAGGTTGTTTGAGTTCCTCTGGCAATACTGAGTTTCAAGATCAGTTAGCAGGAACAATACCTATTACCTCTCTTTTCCAGTCCACGTCTCTTTCTCCAGTGAATGTTATTCGCGGAAACACTAAAGATTCGGCATTTTCAGATTCTCAGTTCCAGCCATTAGAAACTTTTAGAACTTGCATCCTACACAGTTCCTCCAATGCTTCTAATTCTTCATTTGCTACTAGTTCTCTTAACTGTGAAGGTGATGAGTCCCTGTGTAATGCAAATAACAAGTGGGAAAGCCATAGATTTCATTATATTCAGCAACACACTGGGGAGAACCAAGAAAGATTGGATTTCCAGACCATCTCGTCGATAGAAAACCTGGATCTGAATGGCTGGATGCCATCCAACACCATGAACTCCAAGCTTTGGAATGAGCTCTCTCTAAGTCTTGCCACATCCCAACCCGTCGTAATTGAAGGAACGAATTGCCTGGACCAGTATCCACAGTTGGCTTTTTCTGGTGCTACTCAGGCTTGTTTGAACAGCACGGAATTAGGCTCGAACCTTAATTCGTGCAACTCCATGGACCTCTCTCTGAGTTATGGATCTGGTAGCCCCATTCACCTCTCTCAAGCAATAGTGGGATCCAGTTATCTTTCAGTCATTCAGGACATACTTTCCCAAATTGCAAGCTATTCACTGGAAAATTCAGATCAAGTTAGTTATTCAACTACCACGGCTGGGTTTGTGCCATTTTCATCACGTTCCCTGGATGATGCGACATCTGAATTTGGTTCAGATGTAATTGGTATATCCAGTTCTCAAATGGAGCTTCAATGGCAAAAACTATCTGGTGATGCAAAGAGATCCCATCTGTTGACTCTACTGCAATTGGTAGGTATTATGGATATAATTGTTAGTTCTCTAATTTTGGTCTCTGTACAGTTCTTATCATCCTGAACAAATTCGTGATCATTCAGATTGATGAGAGATACACTCAATGCTTGGATGAGATTCACACTGTTGCATCTGCGTTTCATGCTGCCACTGACTTGGACCCTCGTCTGCATACTCGTTATACGCTCCAGTCAATTACTTCTGTTTACAGAAACCTGAGGGAGAAAATTACCAACTGCATTTTTACAATGGGGGTGAGTTCTAACACAATGTGCACCGTGGAGAAGGAGAAATCCTTCGAGGCGACGTTCATCCAGAAACAGTGGGCACTCCAGCAGCTGAAAAGGAAAGATAATCAATTATGGAGGCCACAGAGAGGCTTGCCTGAAAGATCTGTCTCGGTTTTAAGAGCGTGGATGTTTCAGAACTTTCTCCATCCGTAAGATTCTGGTTTACATTTAGAGAGATATGTAAAATAACTCGAAAGAGATGTTTGTTCAATGAAATTGTGTTACAACAGTAAGCATTAACTTTGGTAATTTTTCAGATACCCCAAGGACACAGAGAAGCATTTACTTGCAGTAAAAAGTGGATTAACCAGAAATCAGGTTCTTGCTACTCCTGGATTTTCTCAAACTTTCATATAAGCTCCTCTCACTTTTACAGAGTTCTACCATTGGTGACTTTGGGCAGGTTTCTAATTGGTTCATCAACGCTCGTGTCCGGCTGTGGAAACCGATGATTGAAGAAATGTATGCTGAAATAAGCCGAAGAAAATCCAGTCAAAATGATGAAGGATTTGAAAGAATTCGTCGAAGCCAGATTAGTATGGGCAGAAAGAAGATGTAGCCAGTTTGGATTGTGAAGAAGGTAATTAGCTGAATTGAGAAGTATATGAAACGTGAATAGAAAACAGCAGGGGTATTCAGGTCCACAGACATGTTTCAGATTGAATTCCAACAATATGGATAGGGATTCAACTGTACCTTTTGGCTGTGTATTTGTTGACCGCATTGAACATTCTATATATTCTTTTTGGTACTCAAAGCAAGTCAACCTGAAGAGTCTCTTTTGCCTCGCCTTCCTGCATCTCAAATGGCAAATAAAATGCAATAATTTATGAGTGAAAAGGAAACCTTATTAACATTATGAAAGTAGCAATAGATGGCCTAATCAGCAGAGCAAAAATGATCAGAAACTTCTTTCTGAAAAGAAACATATGGTTAAAGCTTGAAAGGCAATCTTTTCGTTCTTAAAGCACTATTTATTTATTGGAAATAAATTATTCTTAGATTTACAGATAACACCCCTTCTCAACTAATTCTTTTGATTACAAATGAAAGAATGACAAATTCTGCTTTCTGCCTAGAAGTTTTCACTATCAGTTATCCTCTTTCCTTCTTTATCTACACCCCCACACCTCTCATTTATGAACTAATCAAAGAAATAACCAAAAACTGTCCAACTCCTCAAAGTACATATGGATACAAAAAGCGATCTTTATTTTCTTTCTGCCTCCTTTCTTCGTCTTTCAGACTTCCAAGGAGATTCTTGTTTTTATTGGCTTCAACTTCAAGCCCATACTTTCTGGCGACAGAAGCTCTGGAGCAATGCAAGAAGGACTCAAAGGGCTTCTTGGGCTGACGCTAAAATGAGATGGCCTATACATGCCATATCCCGTGAGAAAATACTCCATAGGTATCAACATTGCATCAGGCTGCTCCTCCGTCACCATTGACCCGCATGACTGAACCTGAGAATAGCCCCATTATTCCATCTTAGTATAAAGCTCGAAGATAAATGTATATTGAATCTAAAAAATATAAAAAGGTGCAACATACTTCCACAAGGGCACTGTATCTTCTGTCTAATTTTACAGTCATGTGGAGAGCCTCCGAATGAAAAGGAGACCTATCCCCAACAAATATCAATGAACGGCACTTTAGTTTTCGCAATCCTTCTGAAATGTCGGGTCTCCTGCATTAAAGCAAAACACAGTTCAGGTGCGGGGACCTTGGACACCCATAATCGTAAACTCTACCCACATCATAAAGATAATGTGCTGAAAACCATCCCAACAATCGACACAAACAAATTCTTTCACGCATCCAAAAGTTGGAGTTCAATGCATTACCCATTCATTGCTTCAAGAAACCTCCAGACATTTGAGCTTTGCCTCTCAACAAGCGACTGTTGAAACAGACAATGTACATAACGTTTGGTCATAACATTGGAAGTTTAAAGTTGGTAGAAAATAATTGAAGGAGGAGCAGGATGGAGTACTCACTCTTCTGCATGCTTGAACTAAATCAGACTCCGGTACTTGAGAACAACCACGAGCTTCCTGCGGCCAACCAACCAGAAAAGTTCAAATGTCCACTCAGATTCAATTGTGGAAAAATAACTCTAAGTAGAGCTTGAATTTATGTAACCTACAGTTGAAAACTCTGTATTCGTACATTTATCTTCGAGCTTTATACTCTGTATTCGTACAGTTTATATTTTGAATATGAAAAAAAAATGAGTTCTAAAAGTTTATAGTTAGTGTGTAACCTGAAATGTGTGTTTCAAAAGCCTAGATTTACTTGACCTAAGTTTATATAACTTAGGGATTAACAGATGCAAAGACTGGACAACCAATGTCCAAATGTAAATTCTGCTTTTCAACCGAACTTACCTTGCTAAAATACCGCTTTAGTAACAACTCTTTCACTACCCCACACATGCCATAGAAATAAAGCAAATTTGACATCACCTGCATATAGAAAAGCCCATTTGTAAGAAGATTCCCAGAAACCATAAGAAGATTGTAATAGTTCAGAAAAAGGACCTTGCTATACAACCATTCTGTCCAACAGGGTGCTCTACATATGGGAGAGATCAATATCAAACCATGGACACGATGCCTATGCTTCATCTGCCTCCAACGAGTGAAATCAGCATATGAAAGAAGTTTCCGAGAGGCTTTGAAAATCATTACAGAAAAAAGCACTCACGTGCATAATGATGAACAAAGAGAAACTTACAGCAAATAGAGTAAGAATGTACGCTCCAGCAGTGACCCCCATACACATCACAGCACTAAGTCTGGAGGAAGAAGGGAAGAAGAGAGTGAGTCATCAGATTTGTGCATATTCTTTTCAAATAAAAAGTTCATGTGTAAAATAAAACTTTAAGGCATCAGACAAGTGGGGTTATAAACTAAACTCTAAATTTAACTAAATTGAAAATGGCCGAAAATCTTATTACCCAAAATAGTTTAGAACTTCAGCAATTTGATCTGCTAAGTCATCTGCAGAAAGTATAGGATCATCAGGGCAAATTGCAGCAGCTCCTAACTGCAATAACTCTTGAACAAGGTTCCAATATGAGAAGAATTCATGTGAAAGTAAAAAACAATGTACTTGTTGGAAAGTTGAGTTTAAGCAAAGCAACATACGAGAATGAAATAGAGATATCTAACCATGCCATTTATACAAACCTCATGACCAGGAGGACTGATATGATATATGCAGAAGTTGTGAAGCAATAACGAACAAGCTTCCGGACAAAACATTAATCCTTGGAAGCAGAACATATCTGATGAATGTTGAAATAGAATTAGTTTAAATGTTGGTAAATAACAAGGACAAGTCAAAGGGAGATAGTATAATTTCCCAACATGACATGAGGTTCAAAGCTATAAACCATAGACTATTTCATTTATTTTCAAGCTTTAGATTTCAAAAAATCTATGGCCTCATTGAATAGCATTTTTTCTATCTTTAAAAGTTGAACTTGTCAAATTCCAATTTCCTGTATGGGTAAATTTATAGTATAAAATTATTTTTGAAATCTCAGCCAATTGTTAAAAACAAAATAAATAAATAAATAGAAGGATTTCAAAACCTACTTTCAAAAAATAGAAAACACATATGCGAGTAAAAACAATTATTTTTAAAAAATAATAAAAAAAGTAAGGTAGTTACCACCAAAAAGACTCTAGAAGATAGAGCCATGGAGGTAACCAACATTATCAATTCCAAAACTCCAGTATGTGAAACTTAAAATACAAGAGCATGTGATGCAAGTAATGAAAAAACTTTCGAAACAGTAAGGGCAAAGTTCAAAAACTCTATTCTTATCAACCCCCTAAAATCCGAAGTGCGTCTATTTCATCGGAAGATCTAATTTACACTCAAAATCATGCTTTGGACATAACATTGAAAGCACTCAGACATGACTAAAAACAAAAGATATGCATCTTTTTTTTTTTTTTTTGATGACTGGAAATGCCCTAAAGTGTACAACTTCTTTGATGCAAGTAAAAATGAATATATAACTTGCAGTGACCTAGCTCAGCACACACGTAAACAATGAACTGATTAACGTGACACATTCTACATACTCACGATTTAGAGCTAAATCAGGATAAGTAATTAGAGCCGGCTTGTCCTGGTCTCCGACCACAGTAACAGAAACAGCACCGTAACAGGTTTTCACAAGGTACTCCTGCCAGAAATTGATTGGACAAATATTAGTTTCAAAACATAATCATCTGAAGTAGAGTGAAGGAAATAATGTAATAGTTATTGGTGAGTTTGCATTCAAAATGAAGTATTATGGGGAAGAATGATAGCTGACGCCTTCAAAAAATGAGAATTGAAGGGAATTACACGAGAGCTTAAATATATGGAAACTCATAATTGAAAATGAAATCGATATAGATAAAATAAGGAAAACATATCTGATAGTTGCTTCCCTTAAAGAAACTTTCTCAACTTAAACTCAAAATGTATTACTAAACCAGTAAAAAACAACTTCCACGTCATTTTAGTATGCAAACCAGAATGAAAAGGCCCAGCGCCAGGCATTCTAAAGACCATTGAATTTCAAGAACAAAGAAAGGAACTCCATGAAATGCAAACGAAACTCAACAGCAACTACTCTTCCAAAACCTAACTAAAATCAACAATGCACACCCAAAAAGTGGATATTCATCAAAATATTGGATAACCCCAATTAGCTTGGAATGATCATTGATTTCGTGGTTCAACATATTAAGAATCCCATGGTTCAAATTCTTCCTTTCCCATCCCGTCCCATACAAAAAATTCCCAACATTTTCTCAGCAAGCAAACAAAGAACAATGTTCAAACATATCTAATCTCATGGAAATAGAGGAACGCGTAAAAGAGAGACGAAATGCAGGTACCTTTCCCCCATAAGAGAAGGACTCCATATCCACCGACACCGAGTCGCTTCAATCCCCCATTTCCTTCTCTGTCTTCCTCTCTCTACCCCTATAATCCTCCCCACTCAATATACAGAACGCTTCTGCTCGCTTTATATACCACCAATTCTCCTCAAGAAATTCTCCCCGACATTATTTGGAAAGTTTTTCAACTCGTCATATCGAATCGTCCGAGTCGAGACGAGTCACCGACGCCGCGTTTTCCCTTTGATCGCAGATTGACAGAAACCTCACGAGCGCCCTGTAACGAACAAACTCTAACCCGATCCCATGGTTAATTTAACCAGAGTTAGGAGGCCGACAGTTCAACCAAAATTACCAGTCTACCCACGCTTGCCTTTGACAGCGACGCGCTCCCCTGCCGGACGAACGAGGGCGCTTTCCGTCTCTTCACATTGATTTTATTATATTTAAAGAAGGAAAATGGTAAGTAGTTAAGCTTTGACTAGGAAGGGATAAAAAGGTCGAATATTTTATGGTGGGGCAGGCCATTTTTTTTTTCTTTTTGCGTTTAATTAAAGTAACGTAATCTTTAATATCATAAAGTATATAATCTGTGACAAAATTGGAAAAATAAAAACCCATTTATATTACAGTGGCGTGGTTATTTATTGCATCGCCTAAATTCAGTGAATTTTTAATGTGAATTATTTTAAAGAATCTAATTATTTTAAAATAATTTCTGTTTTTGTTAAAGATATTGTGTGCGAAATACAGTTGAGGTTTTAATAATATTGTTGCGCTTTAAAGTGAGTTATTTAATACCAATCTTTTCTTGAATAATCAATAGTGGTCCTTTTCTTAGTTCAACAACACGTAAATTAAAAATTCAGAGTCATGGCTTTTGGGTTGATGATCCCAATTGAGGCATCAATTAGTTGTTTTTCTGATAAAACTTTTCAAGGTAATAGAATAAATGTTGAAATATGGAAATGAGTCTAATTATAATATTTTTGTTTGGATTACACGTCATTTCATGAGAAATTGATTGCGGAGGATTATTTTAATACAGCATGTGGGTAGAGATTTGACAACTTTCTGATTAGAGATATATGTCAATTACTATTAAGTCATGTTTGTTTTGGCATAGATTACGGATGGTTATTTATGGGTTTGATAAAGTTTAATCAGATAGTGTGTTAAGAGCCAAATCAAATATAAACACGTAGTCTTCCTATGTTGAGGGACATGACCCAGTTTGATCATGCTGAAAATGAGGAAGAAGGACCATGGTGGCCATTGGAAGAGCTTAGCTTGCCAACTTAAGAAAGATCCTTATTAAGAACAATTTTACCGGCATAGAATTTTCTGAATGTTGGCGAAGATCCACTAAATGACTTGTATGGACATCGAAGTTATAAAGTCACACTCCTCAATGTTCTTCTTATAAAATGGAGTCCCACAATTTTCAAAGGTATGCAATCTCTTGCTTTCTACTAAAACTCGAATTGACACCCGTATGAATTAAGTTTTAACTTAAGCTTCAAAGTTCAAATTATACATGGCCAAGCTCTCCCTGATATAGAGTTCTACTTGCAGGTTACCACCTAAATCCACGTCAACCTCCATGTCAAACCACTTGCTGATGTGTCAAGCAAGTTAGAATCGTGCTACATAATCCGTTAAATCATTTCATAGTGTGGCCGGGTAGGTATATAATAATACTCTCTCTTTTTTCGTATCCTTGAATGCTTAAATTTTCACTGTAAATGTATGAAGTTAGTCAACAAAATTTTCATTTTACATTGTTTTGTGTTTTGTCCAACTATATTTATATTTAGGAAAATTTTATGTTTTACCTTATTTAATAGACTAACTAGAATAATAGGCGGTGAAATTAATATCTTCAATTAAGTTTCATTCTCTTATAAGATTTGTTGGTATTTACAAATTCTTGCGATTAAAAGCATCCGTTAGTTGAGTTTAGACATTTTTGTCTAATTATTTATTTTTTGTTTACCCTGTTTAATTTTGTAGATATGTTTAAGTAGCTTTTTATGGCTGGGTTTAATATTTTTTCTCGCTTGATTTTGAGTGTGTTATCAATTGATTTTTGTGTGATTTATTTATTTATTTATTAATGATAAATTGTTTACTTTATTGTTTAATTAGATATTAATCTCAACATTTACGAAACTCTTGTGCTCGATTTGATAAATTGGAAGTTGGAAGTTAAAAATGACTCACCACGCAAAAAGTATATATATAAAAATAAATTGTTACCTCACTTTTAATTAAATAGAAAAAACAATTGTTAAAGCGAGTAACTTAACCGTAATTGACATATATTAAATATTAAATATTATGTTATATATATATTTATTATACATTTTATAAGTCCAAAATTATAAAATAATGTTTTTATCTATGTTTTGAAAAAACATAAAAAAATAAACCAGAAATTTGATTTGGTTGTTTTTAAAATTTCTACACAATGTTGACAACTTTTCGTGAAAATTATAAACGAGAAACAGAAATAGTTATCAAATAGTCATATTTCTAAAATTGAAAAATGAGAAACAATAAACAAATAAACAAGAATGTTATCAGACATGTATATATTAACCTATCAACTTTGACTTTTACGTTATGGTAAACTTGACATTGTATTCAAGGAGATGTACATAATAAACGTAATATTAGATTGTAAAAAGAGCAACGGTAAATAAGTTGTTGAGATGTGTCTATTCCTATTGGTCAAACAGTATGTAGTGACTATAATGAGTTTATTCATGAAGGAAATGAGCTCAAACCATGATTTCTTATTGTTGGTTTGAAGTTTAATACTCTAAATAAATAAATTGATATCATGTAACATTACTAAAAATTTATATCTAAAACAATTTTGTTGGAAGGTAATAAAATTTGATATCATAGTTATATTAAAACGGTACTCCAAGAAACTAATAAAATTATATTTATTTTTTTAGTATGGAAGAGGAGATTGCACCTTTAACTCCCAAAGAAGGTAATAAAACATCTTTATCCGCGTAACTACCATCAAATTGACATTAATGTTGAATTTTATAGTTACATTTCACCCAACGAATTAATTTTTTATACTTTTTTTTTATTAATTTTTTAAATCAACACCTAACCTACCACATATAATATGACTATTAAAACTTAAACAAAATATCTAAAAATTTAGAAACAAAATAGAATAGTTATAAAAGTTAAATATTTTTTTAAGGTTAAACTAAAATAAAATTGAACTTAAAGAATTGGCTCATTACTATTTTTATGGAAAAAGTTTACCTTCCAACTTTATTATATATGTACGAGAACATTAAATAGAACAAATAAAATTAAATTTTATGTTCATTTTTTTAGTACAATATGAGGGAGTGGGRATTCGAACTCACGACCTTTAAGTCAGAAATAAATATCTTAACCACTTGAGCTATGTTCGATTTAATTTCTAAATCTAACAAAAAGAAAATCTAAAATTTACCTACTCCCGCACTAGGTGACATTGTGCAGAGAAGTGGAAGCATATATTATATTAACTTTCTTATCTTCTTTTTCTTTATGCCTTTATTTTTGTTTTTGGAATTTTGGTCCACTAGAGTGAATGCAATGTTTTCTAAAATGACGTTCAATATAAATAACTTTATAATATTTATAAATAAATAAAAACACGTGGAAGAGTTTCATTCGCTTCCTTTTTTCTTTTTACAACTCCTTTATCAAGTTGAAAAGTCCACGTTACACCGTGGTTAAAAGTAAAACATCCCAGTAGAAGTGGTGTCCATTGACACACGACGCACCGTTTTTACAACTCCTTTATGGCCATGGACATTTATTTTAAAACTTTCTAAAGTTATTTTTGCTACTTGTAACTTTCAATTTTAATTTCTATGCAAGAACAAATTTATGTTTTATTGAGATTGGATAGTCAGATCTAACAGAGTTTAGCTGATGTACTCTAAAATTTTATCATTTGATTATCTAAGTTTCAGTTGACATCTTTGAATTAGTTCTGTACTCAACTAATTAACTTCTCAATTCTCTCTAAATTGGTTTGGATGTCGTGCTTCACAAACTTTTAAAGCGAATATTTTTCAGTACCTTCTTAAGCGAGGTTATATTTACTGATATCATTTTAGTAGCCATGATAAATTTAAGAGTATTTAGTGATCCCGTAGGTTCCACAATTTAGTTGAGTTTGGAGTAATAAAGAGTATGACTCGAGCATCAGGTTTACTTGATAAAATGAGCTATATTGAACAGGAAAAAAAAACTTTGTACATTAATTTTGGACAAATTGCCCCGTAAATTTCACCCAAATCGACTTCAAATCTGAGGTGGATGTCCAGTCAACCGATCGAGGTGATGATCTACACACAGAACCTTACACCAATGTGGTACTCGCTCACGTATACTTTGAAAAACTTAAGTTAGTACTTGATCTGAGCTGGTGACGAGTTGAGCTTAGTTAGATTGCATATAGATTGCATACCTTTATAAATAATTGCATACCTTTGAACTCATTCCCTCCAAGTCTTCTACTATTTAGTATTTATATTGATCAACCCTTACTGACCACTAGATTAATCCATTATGATTTAGAAATAAAATAATTTAGTGTTATACTATTTTAGAATTTGAATTTGAAGTTGCTCTCTCACAGATAATTGGAAACCATAACGAAAACACATTACGACAGAGGAAACTCCATCAACAACTTCTAACCGCTCCAACTCAACAGCAAAATTCCTTTCAAGTTTCCCCTTTTCAAACTGTAGTCCTTTTTCATGGTTAAATTTTTTTTTTTTTGTAATTATATATCATATGGTAGTCATAATTATTGTTCTTAATTAGGTTACATGAAAATTTCAGAAAGTTGTAGCTAGAAACAGCCCCACTGTTCTTGCTTACCCTGGCTGTAGTAATTTCTTTATCCTTGTACACGTCTGTATTATTTCCTCAAGTAGTATTCTTTTTCTAGCTTTTCTGTGCAAATTAAACAAATATTGGACCTTTAAATATCATTATTTACAAGTCAACCCACAAATAATTATTCTTAGCAATTGTCTGGCTAATAAGCTACATCCAAATAGTCCCTTATGCTTCAAATAATTAAACATATTTATGGGACAACACAAAAACAATATGTAATCATAGCTTGGAAATTATCACAAAATTCGAGAAATGGACTATCGATCTCAATTAAGAAGAAGATGATACTGTAGCTGTTTGAATATAATATATTTTTAGTATAACAAAATATTACAATATTTTTAATATTTAATTAAAAAATAATTACTAAATAAATAAATAAAAATAATAATATTTTTATTTCCTTTTTTTAATTAAAAAAACAAGAAACAAGAAATATTTTAAAAGGTGAAACAACAAATAAGGAAATAAAAATATTACTAAACACACCTTAAATAATAACAAAGTCTAGAGGAGCAAAGATCAAACAAATTAAAAAAAGAAAGGCAAAAATAGAGGGGGATCAAATTTAAGAGAGTAAGTGAGAAAGCAATTTAAAGCTATGGGGGGCGAAAAATTAATGGCATTAATTGGATAGAGGCATAAAGTTTAGAAGGCAAGCATGTGAGGCTGAGGCCCCGTAGCAAAAGCATGGAAATTGATTGCCCAAAAAAAATTATTGTTATATATAAATCTATCTCAAAATTTGGCGCTCTTTTTCCTGCGGCATTCGCGTCCACATGTTACATGCGGTGCCCCCACCGACACACCCCCTTGCCCTTCAAGGATTGATTTACGAGATGTCATTTAAATTTTAGTCCTCAAATTTGTCAAATATTAATTATTTAGTAAGTTGCTGGAAATTTAAACGAGAAATCGAACCATTTGATAACTATTTCCTTTTTGGACTTTGATTTTTGGATTTTTAGTTTTTTGAAAATAGGATTGTTTGGTAACACATTCAATTTTTTGTTTTTGGTTTTTCAAAAACTATTTTGAAATTCTTCGCCATGAAGTATTATGTGATAAGTAAGGGCACGTTTGATAAACATTTTGATTTTTGGTTTTTCTTGTTTTTAGTTTTTGGCTTTTGGTTTTTTGTTTTTAAAAAACAAAAAATCAAAACATGTTTGGTAACAATTTTTAGTTTTTTTAGAGAGAGAAAAGTTATGTAGAGTAGAAATGACAATGGTGTGAGTGTGAGTGAGGATACTCTCCCCCATTCGTCCTCGTGAAAATTTTTAGTCTCCGTCTCCACCTCGTTCTTGGGTCTGAGAGATGTTTTCGAGAAAAATTATCGATTTTATCATTGTTTTTAATTATTTTTAGAATTTAAGTATAAAAAAGTGTAATAAATATATATTAATTATTTAAAAAATGGAATCAGGGACATGGAGGGACATGCATTTCCTATTTTTAGGACCCGACTCTGCGAAATTTTTTGTCTTGTAGAGACTATGAAAATACAAGTTTAGAGAGAAGTAAATAAACTTTTGGAATCTAAATTTTAGAGAGATAAATAAAAATATTTAGAAAAGAAATGGTGAAAGAAAAGTTAAAGACAACAAGAGAGTTTTTAGGAAAAAAAATAAAGTCGGGAAAAGATATGTTAAAGAAAAAAAAAGAAATTATTAACAAAAAGAGAAATTATAGTGGAAATAAATTTAGAGATAAAAACAAGATTCAAAGTATAATTTCTACCGAAAGTAAATAAACACAAAGAAAAATAAAAATTACCGGAAAGAAAATTGAAATTTTCAGAGGAAAAATAGATTATGAAGAAAAAGAAAAATTATAAATGATAAAATTTTAGAGAAAAAAAAGTTAGGAAAAATATTAAAGTTTTAGAGTGAGAAATAGTTATCAAACGGGCCTTAAATTTTAACAATCACCAAATAAAACGGTATAATAATAAGATAAAAAAACTCAAAATGTTAGGGACTGAAACATATATTTAGCCTATATTAAATTTTAGACTCGTGTAGATAAAAAGAAAATAAGCACTCTAGTTGTTCAACTTTTGGCCTGTCTATTGCACTTTTTGAAATTTGAAAAAACAATCATATTCTAGTTCATCACTCATCTAAACGTCCACTACACCAACTTTATATGACTCTAATATATGTAGATGCTAGTTCATTCATACGCGTATCTTCAAAGTTACTTGTTTAAATTTTTAACGACAAATTAATAACGATAATGAAAAGGATTTATTTTTAGTTTATAGACTAAAATAGAATTAAACATTAAAAAAAAAAATTATAGAAGCCTGAGTTTGTGGGACCTATCTTTTAGTTTTTATAATTAAAATTTGTAGGAGACTAGAGTTAATAAGTAGTTAGTGTAATTGGCCACTTTTCTCATTTTCCAAAATTATTTGTATTTCGTCGAATTCTACAATTTTACTCGTAAACCAAATATCTGTCAAACCTAGCGTTGGACAAATCCAAATTAATTATAAAATCTGCCGAATTTTAGTGGTCCACATTTCATTTTTTTTAATATATTTTCTTAAATTGCATTCTATCTTTCAATAAGTGACCGACAAAACAAGAGGATTTAAGAAGAACGAAAAAACAGACTCGGTTGAATTTAATTTAGTCGTAAAAATTAAACATAAACACCCTTGCTTAAGCAAACTTGCAAATAGAAATGAAATGGGTTTGTAATCTATTTTCAAATTTCATATAATTTGTAAATTTTGAATATAAACAGGTGTCATATATACATAATAATACTTTTTTTTTAGAAAATTACAAAAATTAACTATAAATATATATTTATTTTATGTCTTTAATTTCTCTAATTTTGTCCATATATATATTTATTTGACTATTTGAATATATGGTCACTTTGTCCTTTAAATATTGTCTCGATTACACTCCGATTTTGTGAAAACTGAAAAGTCGTACACAAGATATCTTGAGGAGCATATTTCACACCCCACATCTAATTGGTCTAATAAATATTATTTAAATTGTCTATTTAAGTAAATGTTAACCATTAAATAAACTTCATGAGACATTTAAACCCTCATCTTGTTGGAATTGTCACGTTTGTTATCTTAGAATAGATATGGTTTATACATTTTTTTCTTCGTAAATTTAAAATCGACTAAATTCTTTCAGATAAAAAAAAATATCGATTTAAGTGTCATTATGTGCTTCAACGGTCAAAATTTAATTCATTTGAGATTTTTATTAATAATTGGAATTTTTATATCCTGAATTATGTTTTTTGTTATTGAACCAACGGTGAGAATGTTGGACGTTTGATACAAAATTCTCTTCGTGAAATAATTACGGTTTTCATTCCGAAGGAAAAAAAAAGAAAAGAAAGGAAGGTATGGTTTATCATAATCATTGAAGGAAAAAAGAAAAATCTGGTACAAAAGAAAATTACTTGCCGACAGTTCGATTTTTGCCGGTCACCCGCAGCTTCTGACTATGGGCTTTCGACGAATCAAACACTTCTTAATTTATATATATATACATTATAATTTGCTTATTTACTCTCCAACAAATAAATGTCCCAAAAAAATTTGTTATGTCCCAAATATTTATTGTCGGTCTATAATATAGATTATCTCAAACTCAAAATGTCTTTATATATGTTGCCTCAAATATAGATTTTCTTGAAATGTCGTGGAATGTAGCTGAGTTGTCTCAAGTGACGTCAGGGGGTTGAAAAAACTTTCCGTCGAAGGGCGCAATCATGTCTGGCCTCTCAACATCCCTGTCCCTTTTCAAAGAGATACTTCAGCGGGTCCATCCTTGTGAGTATCTCGGGTGTGAAGGAACGACATTGGCATAGATGTTCTTGAAAGGTTTGAGATATTAGTTTCCTCGCATCGTTTAGATTGACTTGAAAATGTCACTAAATATAGGTTGTCTAAAATGTCTTGGAATATTGGTTGCCTTGAAATCTCACAAGAATTTGGTTGCCTTAAAGTATCCTTGAAAATTAGTTGCCTCGAAATGTACCAAAATATAGGTTGATCGGAAATGTTGTGAAATATAGGTTGCCTCGATATATCCCGAAATATTGGTTGTTTTGAAATGTTCCAAAATATAAGTTATCTTGTTATGTCTTGAAATATTGGTCGTCCCCAAATGATACTTTGGATGACTTGAGGTTCGAAGGAATATCCTTGAGGTATTGAGTTCAAGCTACAAGGAACTATAAAATTCTTGGGTAAATTATAAAATGTTCCATAGAATTCTAACTATACCAAGCAACGAAGTTCTCGTCGACAAGTATATCCTTATATTTATCTTCCCAAAAGCAGGAACTATGAAATTATTCGGTAAACTAGGGTACAAGCCATCTGTCAATTACATACAAAATTTTAATGGTAAAAATATATTTTCAAACTTGATTAATATTTAAAATTGGGATGATCGTTAAGACTTTGAATAATTATTTCTTTTGAGTTTTCTATTTCTGAAAATTATATTTGGTCCATCACAAACATTTTTTTTTTCATATTTTAACCATTCTTAAAAACAAATTTAAAATCTTAGCCAAATTTTAAATAAAAATAAAATTTAAATTTTTTTTCTTAGTGTTCAAAATTTAGCTTAGGTTTTAAAATATTCTAAAAAATAGAAAAAAAGGAATAAATAGAAAAAAAATGGGGTAAATTGGACAAATTTTCCCAATGTGGGCCTTCCAGACCTAACAAAATTGGGCTTTAAACAGAAGCCCATGAAATAAACCGTGTGCAGTTCGCGCATACATGGTCCGGAAATAATTGCTTCTATAAATTGCGATTTTTTCATTGCTTCTATTTCATACACTTCCCGCCTTCTTCAATGACTTCGTTTTCTCTGTTTTTTTTTTCTCATCGGCTCTCTTCTCCGTTTCAACCTCTGAATCTCTTCTTCTGTTTTCTATGGTTTCTGCATCATCCTTCATCCTCTGAAAACAAATGCTTCAACAAATTGTGAAATTTTCATTGCTTCTCTTACATACACTTYCTGCTTTCTTCAACGTCTTCGTTTTCTCTGTTTCTCACCAGTTCTCTACTTCGTTTCAACATCTGAATCTCTATCTTCTGTTGTTAGGGTTTCTAGGGTTTTTGTATCAGGATTTGATGCAATTTATGAAATACATCGTGAACTGACCGAAGTTACAACACCATTGTGGTTCTTCTGAGGTTAGTCTGTTTTCTTTCGTCGTTTCCCCCAAGGTATAAGCTAATTTTATCTTCCATTTTCAGATTATTTTTTTTTAACAATTAGGGTTTATTGTTTTACATACCGATGAAAGGTGCACAGGATCGTCGAATGTCTCTGAACGGATTTTGAATTGAAGTAGGAGAATATTGATAGAATTTCACTCTCTTTTCGTTCGCCAGAATTTCTCGAGCTAAGCCTGTGTGTTTCGCGGTCCCTACTTCCCGTAACTGATTTTGAAACCTGTACAAGTTTTGTAACGATTTTCCATTTAGAGAGAGAAAAATGCATTTTTTTCTGCATTGTCATAATAGGACCATTAAAATTTGTGAAGTAATTTCAATCCTTCGTTTGTTTGGAGATCTTCTTACTTCGTATATCAGTACAAATTTGGGTTTGAAAAAGCTACCACAGCTCATACTTTAGGTAATGCTCAAGTTTCCCCTTCATACATTTTACGTTACACCAAGTCATTAAGGTTGGGTCCTCAATTCTTCTTCTTCTTCTTCTTCTTCTTCTTCTTGTAAAATTTAAATAATAATATCTATGTAACTTCAATCTACATGCCATAAGTCCAGATGTAGTCGCTAAGTTGTTGGTTGGATGAATTAATTTTCAGTGGTTGACTTGAAGAGGCTTGAAATGCAAGCAAGAGATGGACCATCAGATCCAAATACTCTGGCCAAATGGAGCATTCTAAATAGATTTCATGATAGAAATGATAGAATTTTGATGAAGTGAGTGGAATTGCTTTTCTTTTAGTGTTACGCAGCTTCAAAGAATTTATTTTCACTGAATTGTTAAGTAGCTATCGTTTGATTTATAATTCTCTACACTGTCATTATAAGAGTTGTTTTTACTTATGAAGTCTTGTTAACATCTTCAAGTAATCTAAGGCGGATGTCTGCTCACTGAAGTGGAAGGACTTCTAAAGAAGTTAATTTAATTGACATGGCAATGCCATGTCACTTTCTCATGCTACATCTATCTCTTTTTCATGCATGCCTGAGGGGAGGCCCCATAGAGAATGTAATCCTTATTAAATTTAATGTCACATAAAAATCCCTTACTGACACTACATTGAGAACAAACAATATAGGAGAGGTCAATTTCTTTGAGTACCAAACACTACAAAAGTTGTGCCTCTTTTTTTGAGTTCTTCATGTTCTTAGATCTCAACTGTTAGGGTTTGTTGTGGTGGGTTCCATTTGCCTTTAGGATTTATATTCTTTCAAGGTTAAACCTAATCAATAAATTGTTTTATTATTCTGGTTAATGATACTTTCTTAAATTGGTAATGTTTATTTTAAAATTTGAATGCATTTGATTTTTTTTTTTTGAATTATTATGTTCTGGGGTGGTAGCTTAATTGCAGGTGCTTCTAGTCATGAACTCATGATCAATGTTTGGAAGCAATAATGAAAACCTGCCGAAGGACCCCTTATGTAAGTGTGCTTCTATACTATTAGGCAAAAAAAAAAAAACATATTCTGGGAAATAAAGTGGGGTGGGGAACAAAAGATATCATGGCTGGTTGAAGGAATTTGTAATAACTGATTTTATCATTTTGTTCCTCGTGTGATATTTTTCTGTTACAACTTGTAGGAATTTGGTTTATTTTTCAACTTTTCAGGAATATTCTACATTTTAAAACACCCAATTAATATGATGTTGGGATCATAGTTTCATGCTTTAGCTATTGATTTTTATTGTTACATAATTTTGAATTGATTCTTCTTTCATAAATTTGGGATTGCTAGAACACCGATTGGACGGTGATGAATATTTGGCCATTGCTGATGAATTCATGGAGGTTGTATTTACTCGTTGGCCACATGTAAGTAATTCAATTGGTACTCTAATCAAATAATTGGTTTTCTCCTTTTCTTATTTTAATTTATATTTTTAAAATTATGCAACAAATACTTAAATAATTGTTCAGCAATTTGAAGATTTCCGAAGCAAATGACATCTAAGTTATTGCAACGATACAGAAACACCTATACAGAACGTTCAAGTTTTTTTTCCTTTTCTTTCTTTAACTATTGGCTATTTAGATTAGTATGTTAATAAAATTTATGCATATTTTTATCGAACCTTTATGTTGGCTAATGTAGGATATATTTGCTGGTTTATTTGTTAATATTTCAAATAGTGATGGTGCAACATCAGTTGACAAAATTACAGTGGAATTTTAATTCTAAAAGCTATGTTTCATAGCTCAACATCATAGACCATGACCATCCAACTCTAACTATACAATGTAAGATTTCGTAAGTTTAGGGGGTGATATATCAATTTGAAACTTCAAGAGTGTGATTGTAACATATCCTATAGTTTGGTAGTTTGCATTTTTTATCATCAAGATGACTTTGAAAATTGATAAATAGATAGGTAGAAAATAATGTTTCTATTAAAAGAGATAGGATTTGTACATATTTGAAGTTTTTGACATTCAACTTATACCCGTTTGCTCGCTCTATTTCAAAGGTGCGACTTATTGTGATGGCCAATGGGCTACATAATGAGGTGATTTACTAAGCTTTAAGATAATAAGAATTATATTCATTCAAAACGAGTTTGACTACAATTATTTCAATCCTATTATGTCTAAAAATTGTATATTGTTTTTAATTAAGAAGAATCAACATCTTCAACACATCTAAAAATTACTTGATACCTTATAGTTTTCAACTTTCATGAATATTCCACATCTTTAGAACTCCCAAATAATAATTTTAATGCGATCGTACTTTTGTCTTTCATGTTTAGCAATTAATTTTTATTGGAATAAAATTTTGAATTGATTATTTTTTCAGATATTTAGGATTGCATGAACACCGATTGGATAGTGATGAATATTTTTCCACTATTGATCAATTCATGGAGGTTGTGTTTGCTAGTTGGCCAAGTGTTATTGTTCTACTCTGGTCAAATAATTGGATTTTCTCCTTCTATTATTTTATATTATACTCTATAAATTATGCAATAATTATTTAACCATTGTTCAACATATTTGAAGATTTCCCAAACAAATGGGCGTACAAAGGGCTTGTTTGTGGTCTGTGCACATATCATTCTTTTCTAGTTAATACAGTTACAGGTTAGATATATATACGCACATTATACACTTGTTTTTTTTTGTTAGCTTCAACCTCTTTGTACAACTCATTTATTAATTTTATTTGTTTCCTATAAAAAGAAATAAGAATACACGTTTTCTTATTTACTAAGCCGCTCATTTAATGTCGTTTAAAGCACGTCATATGATTATGTTACTCTTAGAATGTTAACTGTGCTTACTGTTTATCTTTTTAAGCTAACTTAAGTCCAATTTGACAAATTGATTATTTTACTCTCAGAATGCTCATATACATGTGATGTAAAACAGAGACAACATATTCCAAAATTATGAGGAACTGGAAAAGATTGCTGGTCCGTTTGCAAGGAATATCAAGGATTCAGGGAAGGTGAAAGTCTAGTGGAAATGGTTTGTATACTTCCCATCCTTCTTAGTCATAGCTCACAACCATTCTTGCATAGAGTAATTATGTCTTACTATTTACCTCCATTGTTATCTTTATTTGGCCGTTGATATTTAGAAGTTGAAAGTTGTTCAAAAAGGTGGGATTTGAGTGAAAAACTTCAATAGTTGTAGACTGCAATCTTTTGGAGCGACATAATTTTATTGTTAGATATGTATGTCTCAATTTAGTACTAATGAATTGACGGATGCGATAATGGAAGAGGTGCTGTTTCATCCATCTTTTTGTCACAAAAGTCGTGTTCTTTGTCATGTTGGTTTTTTTGCTGTCTTATCGAGCATTTGATGACAGGATATTTGGTCCATTGCAGGGTTTAGTATGCCGCCCTGTACGCATCTATTTCTAAGGATTTTTGACACTAGAATTTAGACATCTTTTGAATTGGAACTCTCTTTTTTATCTTTTAGTTCAGTTTGTGCTTTGGCTCTTATGTTGGGCTGTCATTTTGTACAGCTCCTTGGTGGCCAGGGCTTGGAATGTTTGGATTGGAACCCTCTATCTTGGGTTCAAGCTCCGAAGTTAAAAGTCAATAACTTAAAACCTAAGGATTTGAGGGATGGACCATGAATATTGAGTATAATGAAAGGAGTGACCTTGATGCTATGAATTGTTTTAACACCTCTAACTTCAATGCTTTGAAATTGTAAATCTTTGCATTTAATTATTTTAGCATGATTTTTTTATTACCATAGCCCTAATGTGGGCCATATTTTGATTTTCTGCTATTTCTTTGAAAATGCTAATAATAGGTGCAACAAGTGAAGCCTTATTATATGCTTCTTGGACTGTATGCAGTTGGTGGATTGTTCACATAGCTGGTATTAAGCATGGTTCTTGATACAAATATATTCTTTGGTTAGTATTCTTTTGTTATGGTAATATATATATATATTTATTTTCAGGAGATAAATTGACGGTTCTTTCGGTTATTTGTGCCTAATTGTAGGTTATATCGGAAGATGAGATAGAACGGAAAAACTGGGGTAAATTGGACAATTTACACATTTCGTTTTAGAAATTATTTTTAGCTGGTCTAATGGCCGGACTGGATGGGACTTTTAAGGAAATTTTATTTTGTTTTTGTTTGGGAAGCCGTCCCTTGTAACTGATGGGCCTCGGCCCACTTCCTTCCTAAATTGAAAGCCTATATAGAAGGTAATCTAGGGCAAAGATTGTAATCCTGATCCGAATTTGATGTATAATTTGATGAAATTAAAAATTTATAATAAACATTGATATACATCACCAATTTTATTGGAATTAAACTTTATCTTTTCCCATCTCTATGAGATAACGTGTTGATTCAAAAAATAATGATTTCTTGGTTGGTTTTACATTTTGAAATGTTTGGGATAGTTTCAATTTTAGTCATTGAATTTCTAAAAATGTATATTTTAATCTTTGATTTTTCTTAAATAATCATGTTTGAACTTTCTATCTCTATTCATCTATAAATTTAGCCAGTATGAGTATAGTTAAGTAGTAATTGACATTGATTTTTGACTAAAAAGTCATGAGTTTGAATTCTCTCACCTTCATTTATTGTACTAAAAATTAAAGGAAAACAGGTTTATAAACTTGATAAAAGAAAAATATTCATGACATATCGACATTATATCATAGAGTTTTTTTGTTGCAGGGCATTATTTATTTCCCCCTTATTTCTTCTTCTATTTCCTCTGCTCCCCGCGGGCTCAAAATGTTGCCCTAAAATCCACCGCCAATTTCCTTCGCTCATTAACTAGCCCTAAGCTTTCGAAAATGTGCCATAAATCTACTCTTAATTTCCTTCATCCATGCCTCCCCAAAATTTTTGAAAATTTTCCATATAACCCTCTTCGTTTCTAAATCCAACAAATTTATTCCAAGTGGCAAGTTTCATTTGACATATTATAATAAAGTAATTTTTTAATCGAATAGTTGCCAGAAGTTGGAGTTAACAAAAATAAATAAATAAATAAAATTTAGTCAAGTTAACAATATTAGGTATGAATAATTCACTTTTACTCATACAAAAATCAATTTGGTTCTAAAACAATTTCATTTTAAAACAGAAGGTGTAGCATTGGACAAAGATTTATGAATTATTTTGAATGATTATTTATGTCAATTACTTTGATTTTCTAATTGATTTTTTACCAACAAAATTAATAGATAATTAATTCTTAAAATGGTTATTGTTTTAAATTTTAAAACGATTCTTTATTCACCTTAAATTTTGATTTTTTTTTGTTGTCTTTTCTAATTTTTTTCATTCTCTAACTTTATTTATTTATAATTTTGTTGGTTTTCTCTAAAATTTTTGTATTCTCTAGAATTTTAGTTATCGTATCCTGTTGAGTTAATTTCTTCCTTAAAAAATTTTATCTCTTACCCTCTATAATTTTTATTTCTCTTTAAAAATTGTGAAATTCTCTCTTTAAATTTTAAATATTAATCATTCTAACATCATTTTTAATTATATAAAAATCGTTCGAAAAATGTAAAACCAAATATTAAAATAATTATATAGAAATCATTTTCATAAAGTGAGAGGTAAAATCGTTCATTTCAACGTTATTCTCAAATATGCCCTTATTTGATACCTTTTATTTTTTCCTTATGTTGAGCGAATAAATTTATAATTTAACATATTATACTTTTTCCTCTTAGGATGCGAAAAATATCCAGAGTGGGAGCGGCATACTATATATATTCCCCACGCGGAGTAAGGGCTAAGGGGTCATTTATAAAGAAAAACCCATCCTCTTTATCGCCTCCAGTTTTGTTCTTCTTCTTCTTCGTCTTCTAGGGTTTTCTCTCAGACGCTAAGCAATGGCTGACGAAGCGCAGTATTCATCTGCTCCTGATACTGCATCCAACAAGCGCAAGTACGAGGACCAGCCTCCACCCATGCTCACGCGCCGCCCCACTGGTTTCTCCGCCCCGATCACTTCTCCCTCTTCTGATTCCGCACATCCTCCCCCTCCTTCGTACAACAACGTCCCGCCCCCTATGGACGAGATCCAGCTTGCTAAGCAGCGTGCTCAGGAGATTGCCTCTCGGTTGATTATCTCCAGCGGCGGCGTGGCGGCCGGTGCTGGCCCTGGTGTTGGGGCTGATGCCAAGCGCCCCAGGGTCGAGAACGGCGGCGGGTTTGATTCCTACGACAAGGGTTTTAGTTCTGGTCCAGGTCACGATTGTCTTCTTCTCTCACTCTTTAATTTTTCGTGGTTTTATGTGCTCAGGAGATTGCATAGTGCTTGGTCTAGTACTCACGATTTACTTCAGTTGTATAGATAAAGCTTTCTTTAAGCCAAGTAGTTTGCAGTTTTGATATTGCCTTTGGTATAGCCTCGTGTCCGCGAGCTGAGTTTAAACTCTCAGTACTAATGAGAGCTCGTGGGATTTAATGTTTCGGGACTTCAGTAGTAGCTATATGAATTAACCTTTCTGTCTGTTCCATGGACGCCTATAGATGTTTAGTGAATGACTTTGTTCATATGGTCTTTTACCCCTATTTTAAAAACGAGAATTGTGCCATAATTGAATGCGCGTTTTGTGACCTTGATTTGCGTGGATGCAGACCTGAAGCCTCATATGTCAAGTTCGGCTCCTTCGGCAATACCTGTTTCCTATGGATTCCAAGGGACAAGCAAGAAAATTGATATTCCAAATGGTAGAGTGGGTGTGATTATTGGTAAAGGTGGAGAGACCATCAAGTACCTTCAGCTCCAGTCTGGGGCAAAAATCCAAGTTACTCGTGACATGGATGCAGATCCCAATTCAACTACCCGGATGGTTGAGCTAATGGGTACTCCTGATCAAATTTCTAAGGCTGAGCAGCTGATAAATGACGTTCTTTCTGAGGTTGGTCTTCTTCAAACTGCAGTGTATCTTGGGGGTGCTATATCAACATTTTCGTATGGTCTTCGCTTTGAAATATCTGCATGCTGTGTAGCAATACATTGGGTTGGATAACGGATGAACTATCACCTTACCTTTCTTTCTACCAATAACTTCATATTATTGGAAATATTATATTTATAATTTGCATTTATAATCTGATTTAATTGAAGTTGGTGGAAGGGTAAGGATTATAACTTGGCTAAAAATCGTTTTTGTCTCATTAATTTAACATTTGAAACAGGCTGAATCTGGAGGTTCTGGCATAGTATCGCGAAGATTAACTGGTCCATCAGGATCTGAGCAGTTTGTTATGAAAATTCCTAATAATAAGGTTCTTAAAATATTTTTTGGAACTTCCAATTATTTTTTATTTTTTATCTTTTCTGAGAACAGAATTCTTGTTTATTTATGGAACCTCTAATTTTTATTATGTTCTTTGTCCAGGTTGGCTTGGTTATTGGTAAAGGTGGTGAAACAATCAAAAGTATGCAAGCAAGGACTGGAGCACGCATTCAGGTCTGTTCATGCTTTAAATATATTCTGTTGTTGTTTTTTCATGTGTCCTTCAGAAGTCATCCCAAAATGTTCCTACCATTTTATGCCTTTCAATTTTGTAACTACTTTTCATTTTTTGTTCATTTAATGTAAATGATTGTTTTGAATTTGCTAAACATGGGACTGTCTATTCTAATTTTCTCAGGTTATTCCTTTGCACTTGCCCCCTGGGGATACATCTATGGAAAGAACCTTGCAGATTGATGGTTCAAGTGAACAGATTGAGTCAGCAAAACAATTGGTTAATGAAGTGATCAGTGAGGTGCGTTTGCAGATTTTGGTTCCATTAAGACTATTATGCCTTGTTGTAGGGACTAATATCCAGTTGACATCTAATTCCATGGATATTTGTGTTACTTTTTTAATGAGATGCTTATAATGGTCCTTTTCCTGCTTGGATTTGGTTATTTTTATAATTTTTTATGCAAGGATGCCATCCTATTCTGAAACTCCTTTGGTTCTTTAAATTCTTCAAATTTTTAAATTTTAGGGTCCTACCTCAATTCCAAGTTGTTATCATTATGCACTTATGGTATCGATTGGACATTCAATTGTTTGTTTACCTTTAATTTTTGTCCAGATTCATACTGCAATGACACTATGTAGATTACTAAATGTGCTGTTTATGAGTTCCCTTTTGAAATGCTATTTTTCAGTCACATTCTTGTTAAGATTTACCTTGTTTATTTAATTTTTTTTATGTCAATTATTTTTCAAATTAATGCTGCTGATTCTTTTTGGAGGAAATAGTTCTGACATTGTTTCTTCTCATTGTCTCTATGTTATATAGTTGTACAACTGGAGTCAACAAAATTTTGATATATTTTTCTTCACTAACAATACTTTTCCCCTTTCTAATAAATGTTACTCTGCTAATATACTGGATCTTCTATGACATTTGGATTAGACACTATATAAGATGCCCAGAGTTTGGTTTTTTTTATTCCTTTAACAATAATGAAATGTTGCTGCATGTGGAAGTCTGCAAAATCATTTTATTGCTAATGCTGCTAGCATGCACTAGCAGTTTCACTATTTTAATTGTCGAACAGTAACTTTGGAAGGGCCGTAAGGAGGTTTGTGCACTCACTGTGCTTACTTTTGACTTTGAGGACGTCCCTTCATAGGTCTACCGAATCAATGCTGGTTTGTAGTTTCACTCAAGGAATTAGAAGCATTGGAATTTTCCAACCTGTTATACTTTTGGATCTCTTATAGGTTAAGATAGACTTGAGGTCTTTTACCCATAATCGATCTGGATTCTTATTATGTCTGCAATTGTTTATTCTATATATCCATTGATGCAGAGGTATGGAGGACATAAGGTTCTGGGGTTTGGAAAGAGGTGAAGTTATTTTACAGATTGAATTGCCTAGTAAATGTTTGAAGAGTGATTGTTGTATCAGAAAGGTTCCCATTGGTGATATGCTGGCTCCTTTGGATATTCAGTTTATCAGTCAATATTACTCTTTGTTAGGTTGTTAAGGTTATATGATATCTCTCCTATTTAAGATGTCTGCAGCCCATTTGGTATTATTCTTGGTTTTATATCTAAGCGTTATATTGTTGGGATTATGGCCTGTTCAACCGTCACATGTGCTTATTAATTATGTATCCTGCAACTGATATTGTTATTGGGAACTATTGTAGGGTTAGGGTTATTGGACCATTAGTGACACCAACATGGAATCCTTTATGTTGGTGTTCTCTCAGCATTGCTCTGGTATGGTTCTGAATCCCATATTCTAATGATATAAAGTGATGATGTGGAGAGAAGTTGCAGGTTTATTTGTTGGATATACAAGGTCATTAGTAAAATTTGAAAATTCACCTTACCGTACCATCATTCTTTTTCTGGTGGTTTAATTTGATGGAGGGTTTCAACTTTTAGTCTGTCAAAATTTACTCTCATAATTGCTTATTTGCTCTGTGAACCATTCGTGAAGTTACTTCAGCCTATTTCTAGACAGGTGGGTTTATTTTTAGTAAATTGCTCATGATATTTTTGGTAAATTGCTCATGTTAGTTACAACATCAACTCTGATTGTTCATTGAGTTGCGTTTGATGGATATTCGTTGGCAAAGACTGCTGTCTCTAATCTTGTTCGTCTTTTGGGTACATCCTGGTTTAGCGTGCAAGATATTATTATGTTTACCCACTGAAAAGATGACCAATCAAATTATTAATTATTTTGAAGTTTTTGACATAAATTGGCCTATATTGTATTGTTATTGAAGAATACTTTTTATTTCATTCTTTATGGGCCATTTTTATTTGCTTCTCATGTGGATATATTTCATTGTCCTACAAAGATCTGTATATGATGTCAATGAGTTTCTTCTCATTATCCACGTTTTTTCTCAACCTTTCTGAAAATATATTTCTTTTCAATAATGTGGTAAAAATCTTTGTATAGCAAGATGATTTCACTTCGCCTGGAGATTTTCTATTCCATAGAGTCTTTTAGTTTTAGTTTGATTTGATACTCAGCTAGATGATTCTTCTATAAAAGATTTGATAATTGGGAAGACATTGCTTTTGTTGTGCTTTGCTATGAACTCGTTTGCCTCTTGGGGCAATTAAGTTCATATATTCTGTTGTGTAAAAGCTTTTGTAGTCGTGTGGTTCTCTTTGCACCCATTCACTTCGAATAGGGAGAGGTTGAGCTTCTGCTGGAGTAACTCAATAACTCATCATCCAGTACGGTATGTTGGTGTTTTATACTCTTCCTAATGCAGTATAAGCTCCTTTAATCCTCCCTCTACATAATATACTGACTATGGTTTTTCAGATCGCCTTGATTTCAGATTTGACTTCTTTCCATTTTACGTATGACTGTTGTGCCTTTATCGTATTATTATGCCCCTTCTTGTTGTCTCGGTTAAGTTGAGAATGATTCACCTTGGTTTCTATGCATCATGTTTTTTTTCAGAATCGTGTGAGAAATTCGACTATGTCAGGAGGATACAATCAGCAAGGTTATCAAGCTCGACCACCTACAAGTTGGGGCCCTCCTGGGGCTCCACCAATGCAGCAACCTGGTTATGGCTATGGACAGCAAGGTGGATACTCGGGTCCTTCATCTCAGTATAACATGCCACAACCTCCTTTCCAAGGTTATTCACAATCGGCATCGGGTGGATATCCTTCCAATTGGGACCAGTCATCTGTTCCACCAAATCAACCCGCTTCACAGGGAAGTGGTTATGATTACTATAGTCAGCAGCCTCCTCAGCAACAGCAGACATCAGGAGGTCCTGGTGCTACAGGAGACAACAGTGGTGGTTACAGTTATGGTCAACAACAAGCCTCTACTTATAATCAACAGGGCTATGCTCAAGATGGGTATGGTGGTGGATACCATGCACCTCAATCTGGTTATGGCCAGCCGCCTACATATGATCAGCAAGGTTATAGTTCTGCTGCAAACTATGGTAATGTGGCCAACACGGCCCAAGATGGGCACACTTCATATGGATCTCAGGCGGACTCATCACAGACAGTCCCTCCTTCACAACCCTCTTCAGTGAGCCAGCAAGGTTATGCTGCAAATCAACAGCCTAGCCCTAACCCAGGGAGTTACCCTCCACCAACTCAGCCAGGGTATGGAATGACTGCACCTTCTCAAACCGGCTATGGTAATCAACAAGCTGCTCAAACTGGGTATGGAGCTGGGTATGGACCTCCTCAAACTCAAAAACAGCCTGCAAATCCTCCAGCTTATGGTCAGAGCACTCAGTCGCCGACCACCCCAAGTGGCTATGCACAACCTGGATATTCCAGTTCTCAGCCACCTGCAACTGGATACACTCAACCGGATTCTGGTTCTCAACGTGCCCCACCATCCGGTTATGGTTCTGCAGCTCAGCCAGGGTTTGCACCACCGCCTTATAGCGTTCCTCCGACAAACCAGTCGAGTTACGGGCAAGCTCCACCAACTTATAACACCTCTTATGGTGCTGGTTACCCTCAGCCCCCATATTCTTCTGAAAGTAATGCAGGTGGGGCTGCTCGTGGGGGCTATGATTCTGCATCGGCTGCTCAGACGGTGCCACAAAGCGGTGTTGCAAAAGCATCACCAAAAAGTTGATAAATGTATGTGTCCATTTAAATGTCTGTTGCAGAGACCAGTTTACTTGGTTCCCAAGGATAGTTTTTGTTAGGTCGGGTAGTGTGTTACGAGACCTTATTAATGTCTGAATTCTTTACTGTATTTGGTTTTGGTATGGTTAAAACGTTGATGGAGTTTTTGTCATTTCATCTTTAACTTGCATTTTTCCTCTCCACTGTTACGTCATGTTATGGCTAAAGGCCAATTCTCAGAAGATAATTCACTAATGAATCAGAGAGGCGAAGACCAATTGTTTGAGATCCTGAAAGCTTCATTTTTATTGAGTGCCAATGGTATCGTTAATGCAACTGTGAATGGCCTAAAATACAAAAGTTGTATAAAGCGAAGTATATCTCTATGCCATAGTCAATTTCTACTTTCCTTCAAGGTAAAAGTCAATTTTTAGTTCCAACTTCGAACCCATGCCCAAAAATTCAATATTTTTTCTCAATCTTAGCAACACTAAGATATTCTAGTCTTAGATGAAATTATTCTTGAACGCCTGCAATGCTTTTGGTGAGAGGAGCAAGATGAATGTGAGAATTGAGCCGAATAGCATTTTGATAGCATATCGGAAAGGATCACGACCATATGCATCTGCGGAGCTTGAGTGGGGCGACAATGCGGTGGCTGATGGAAGGGCTTCGATTACAGCTTCGGCTAGATCCGAAATGAACGAAGATTTGCAGTTGAGGGCAGGCACACGCCCCCAGTTTTCAATCCCAGATTCAAGCGCCAAGTGTTTATACTCCATGTCTATCTCCTCAAGTGTCTCAATGTGCTCACTCACAAAGCTGGGAAAACAAACACGTAAAATTACTATAAACACATTACAAACTCAACAATACAGAAAACAAGGTAGAAATGTTAAAAAATTTCGAACTTTACTGAAACATTTTCCCCTCCCCATCTTCGTTAAAACATCATAATGCTTATTTTAAAAGACATTGTTACCACTTACCACAGCAAGTCAAATAATTTGGTTATTTTAAAGCAGGAAATAGTTGGCTTTTACTTTACTTCTGCAGAAACAGTTTCTACAAACATCCAAGTAAGGTGGGATTTTGCCAAATTTACTTGTTACATGAATGTTTATCCCACTAATATTCACTCTAAGGTCAGATGTGTACATAGTTGTTCACTGAAAAACCAAGATGATGAATATAATTTAAAACAGGACATACAAATCAGCATATCGATAATAGGTCATCCTTTCATTGTTATGAATAAACCATACCTCACTGGAACGGCTAAGAGGTTTTTAATACCCTTCTGGCCAAGCTCAACAAGAACTTCATCTGTGTATGGCTTCAACCATTGTACAGGCCCAACACGGCTCTGAACATATATACATAAACATAAATGAAAATTCATGCGCATGAACTTTGGAATAAAGAAATAAAATGATAGAGCATCGCGGACTAGTTGGAAAGCAGTCCAACATGCTTCTGGAAAGCAAGAAAAAGATAAGAAGCCAAGCAAAATCTATTACTAACCTGGTAAGCAAGAGTATGCTCATTTCCAATTCCTCTGGCTTTCAACTCTTGCATAATTAGGTAGATGCACTCCTCCATTTCATCTTTGTATGGATCTCCTGCATTCTCAACATAACTGACGGGAACCCCATGTGCACTAAAGAAAATCATGACCTGAAGTCCAAATGATGCCACGTTAAGAACAAATCCACTTGAACGACCCAGTTTCAGCATAAAACTTAAGTATCTCTCTAAAATCAGTATCAGCAACAATAAAGTACCTCCTGAGGTTCGACAAAATTCTTCAGCTCTGTCTGAATCAAGTCAGCCATTGACTTAATATACCCTTCTCGTTGATACCAGGACTTTATAATTGAAACAGGCAATGTTGAGAGATACGCATCTTCACTGAAAATCTTCTGGAGAACACGAATACTGGACCCAGTTGTAGAAATAGAGTACTGTGGATACAGTGGCAGCACCACAAGTCTTGTAATCCCATCTCTCTTGATCTGCCGCACACAGCAAAAGGTACCACCAATATTTAACTTCAGTGTGACGATTAAGAACTTCAAAGTTCAGACAATGCTTAAAATACATAGCTAATGTTTGAAGATACAGACATGTTATAAGAAAGATAATACACATGGTCAGCAGTAAGTTTAAAATTTCCCCTCCATCCAAATTAGAAGGCAAGGGGAATAAAGAAAAGGTAGAACATACTTGCTGAATTGCTTCCTCTGTGAAAGGGTACCAATAGCGCATTCCAACATAGACATTAGCAGATATGTTCTTCTCTTCCAAAGCCATTTTAAGAGCCTGTGCCTGAAACAATATTCACAAATTATAAATCTTTGAACATTTGTTTTATGCCCAGCAGGGCATATGCCATAATGAACAAGAAGAGGGACATAAGAGGGAGGTCAATCAACCTGCTCGTCTGTTATTTTACGCAGAGGTGAGCCACCTCCTATTGAAGCATACCCTTCTTTGCTTTTGGGAGCACGAAATGTAGAAATTAGTTTTGCCAATGGCTCTTGGAGGAAACGGAATAACCTTGGTAGCCGAATAATATCCTATATTTCATAAAAAGGAGTGAGAACTGGTTTACACTGGTATTTTATTGAGGCTAGACATATAAAATTAACTAAGTTACCGGATCAGCAAATAGATTATACAAAAATGGCTGAACATCATCAAGCGTTTCTGGCCCTCCTAGATTCAGGAGCAGAACTCCAACCTTGTCTTCCACTGCCTGAGAGGGAGATTCTAAAGCAAATTCACCATTGGTGAAAGTTCGTACTGAGCAAAATGCACGTCCAGGACGGCTTCTCTTCTCAATGGGGCCAGAAAGCTGTAACCCCTGCATTACTTCTCTGTGACCATTAGAGCCAGAACAAGAAACTACTAGTCCTTGAGATACAGACTTATCAATAACTTGCAATTTTCCAGAGGAATTGAACGACAGCCTGAAAGACGAAAAAGCATACGTTGAATTTTTAACTTTAACAATCAAATACCTAAAAACTTCTATAAATAATCTATTTCACTTGCCATCTCCCACCATACTAAAAGATAAGTAACGTTCAACTCCTGTTATCACAATCCTCACAGCTTCACCAGCGTTTTCACAGACAGGACTCAATCGAGCGAAGGAAACTTAATTCTAAATATGTAGAACAAAATTCATATGCCTCACGAACATTGCAGCACGTCGTAATTTCATCCAATAATATAAAACCGAAATCTACTTTCCGAAGCAACAAATTCATCCACAAAAAGGTGACTTAATAGTCTGATCATCAATCTCAAACACAAGTGAAGCCTGAAAGGAACGCATAAGTGATATATAAGACAACTTACGTCGAAACTCTGTGATCCGAATTGAGGACATTCGAACCGGCAAGCTTCATATTGAACAGAGCGCCAGAGCATGAGGTCGCGTCCATGGCGTCAAAAGTTTGCAAAAACTATCAAAATCCAAAGCCCCCTAAAACCCCAGAAAATTTTGAGCAGAGTTCAATATAGATAGAAATGAGTAAGCACTTGATTCTCTGAAACGATCTCGATTATAAAATCGTTCTTGTGGATTGAAAACGTTGAATCCGTAGGAGAAAAAAGAAAGAAAAGTCAAAATTGGGGGAAGGAAAGATCTGGGAAACTCTTGATTAGTCGCTAATTGCCATTGCAAACGCCACCCACCATCATATTTTCTCGAAGTCGCTTTCTTTGTTGAAAAGTCTTCGCATTTACGTCTACGAGTAGAAGGAGGTCCCTCTGAAGCTTCAAATTATTGGGCCTTTTTAAGTTTTAATTAATTGGGTTTCTTTTTTTTTTTGCTTTTTTGTTAGCCACCTCATCTTTCAATTAATAATGGCACGTATTTACCTAACTATAACATTTTAATTAAATATTTACCAAATTTACCACTTATGAAAAGATACATATGCCCTTCACCTAACGAACAAAAATTGAACTGGAGGCGAAGATCAGGATTGTGGAGAATCTTTTCTTAAAGATGATAAAATAATTTTTTTAGAAGACAAATTATACCTGTGGCTAGTTCCCTGTCTAATAGATTTTCAGCTTCTAATTTTGTGTTTAATAATCCTTAGGGTTTAGAATTCACAAAAACACAAAATTAAAAGTTTAAGATTCTATTAGACATGAACTTTACTTTATGTCTAACAAATCTATTAATTTAATTTTAAAATATGTCAAATAAGTCTAACACTCAACGAAAGAAAATTCATGAATCTATTAGATATTTAATTGAAAGTTTAAGGACCTCTTAAATACTTTTTAAAATTGAATGATGTGTCAAGCACAAATCTAAAAATTCATGAACTAAAGTTAGTATCGTACTTTATTAAAATCATAAACACTATAAAGATTATGGTCGGCAGGAACATAACTCAACTGCTAAAAATAATGGGTAATGGTTGAGTATCAAATCCCTCTTCCCTCTTTCATTGTTGTTATAAACAATCACTATAAGGATTGCAAGAACTTTCTTTAAAGATGACAAGATCAAAATTTTTTGGTAGATGATTGAAAACCAAGTATAAGCTTGACTGAAACATATAAACCTTATATCGTAAAGCCCCGAGACAATTTGAACCCTCGTTCTTTTACCTTCTCTCGTACGAAAATTGACCAAAACTGCCCGCTTCGTTGAGGGAGAAAAAACGCGTTCTTCCCAATTCCACAAAAAAAAAAAGAAAGAAAAAAGAAAGTCGAAAACTGAGTCATAAATTTTGTAAACTTAAACCCGTAAGCTTTGTTTTGAACAGTGGACAGATTTGAAACTTGTCTCAACAGTTCAACATTGCTTGGTCAAGGTCCGATCAACATCAATATGTCTCTCTTTCCAAGTCCCTGTGTGATTCTCCACTCACTAAACAAAAACAAAAGCAGAAATGCAAATCAAAATAGTTAAGATTCAGCATCCAGTAGAGATAATATATACGGAGGGAATGTTTCTGAAAGGCAGGTGAATAGCAAATGTTTCTTCATTCGACATGTGAAAACCCGGCGCCACCTTCAGCTTGAGTCCTGCACACGAGCACAAGCTTAACCATTTAGGGGACTGAAAGGGTGCTAAAATGAAGATGACAAATTACAGTTCATATGACAACCTAAACACATGGGAACAACATTAAATGAAGAAATTTAATCTCTATGTTCGAATATAACATTGGCATTAGTTTATCCCCTTTGAAACACACTCAAATTTTATGCTAATCATAAAATTGAACTTTCATTGACTTAGATAAATCCCATAACTGTCGAGAGATAATAAACTGTTAATAATTCAATGCAGGAGCGCGTGCTCGAATAGGCTGAGGGAAAAGTACATGGATGGGGTTAAAACCAGAGGACAAGAATTTGAGAGAAAATTAACTAAAGATGCAGAAGGAGAATGTGTAGTTCTATAATGAATGCAATATCCTCTAGCATGGAGATTGAACTAAGAAAACACTCGAGTTTAATGCCTTCTTGAAGGAAAACTACAAGTAGAGGATATTCAATACCGTTCGGCAAAAGAAATGGCACTTACTTGTGATCAGAAGGATTTGGGGTGATTTCATAAACAATTGTTGCAACAACATCTCTCTTTAGCTGTCGATCAAAATGAAGATATTTAGTCACTTAAAACCAGCAAAATCATCAACTGGATCCTTTGTCACAACTTTACCTGTGTAGCTTCACCTTTCAACCCAATATAGTGTATCTGAGTCATGTCACCACCATAACTGTCAGGAAAGTGCAAAGTGATATTTGCCACACTTTGAAATTTGGAATATCTGATTACATATATAAACTAGCTGTGTCAGAAAATAAACGAAATCTAATACGCAATGGAATTCAGAGGTTGAGAGTGGTCACTCTACAGTTTTACTATCTGTCTTAACCACCTGAGGAAAGATAATGCTCAACTTTTTTTGCCCTCAATTCAAACATTCAGAAGATTTGAAAGATATGTTTTACAAAGCATCCTTACCTTGTCTGGTACTCTAATACTCCTTGAAAATTCTCAACCAAATCCCACTCCTAGAAATAATACAAAATGCATTACAACATATGTTTAGGTGTTAAAATTTCTCCATCAAGTATACCAGATAAGCTAATCGGCTGTACCTGAACAGCTTGCATACTTTGAGCATCAGAGAAGTCAATACCTTCTCGGTTGATAAATCTAATTAAAAATGAAAAGTATGAGATAATTGAAGTTTAATAACCAATGCAGAGTGATGAATCTTAGTAGATAACATAGAAAACCAAGTGTAAGAAAGTTTCAGATGACTTTACTTACACCCGCATCTTCGAAGGACTCGTACCATCTGAACCACCAATGATAGATATGCTTTTGATCTTAACGTCTGACGTAAATCTAATAAAACATCAAATACAAGGTAATGAATTTTTAAGAAACAGGAGGTAGGCCCAGAACACAAAAAGTGCACACCATACATGTACAACGTGCAGCCATATTTGTATTTGTATGTCAAATATACAAGCACAGAAGTATTTGTGAATAAATATAAAAGATATTATCAGATAACTAAATTGTTCTTGCCATAACAGCTTACCAAGTTTTATAATAGTCAACAAGCACACTGATTCATAGATATTTTTCTCTTTTCAGTAGGAACAAGACATAATTTCTGAACATTATTTAAACCCCATTCCATAACTATTTTATTTTTTAAAATTAAAACTTATAGAAACTACCACTGCCTATGTGTTTCTTTGATTGATTATCCATTTTTTAATATATTTTCAAAATTTAAACCAAATTTTAAAAACTAAAAAAGTAGTTTTTTTTTTAACTTGTTTTTGCTTTTCAATTTTGGCTAAGAATTCGCTAGTGATTTTAGGAAAGGTAAAATAAATTGTGAGGAAACAAGCATAATTTTTAAAAACAGAAAACTAAAAGTGAAATCGTTATCAAATGAGGCCTTAACTATTAGCAGTAGTTGGTACATATGGGTATCATTTAGGAATGGCATGAATTTAACTGAAAGATAAAAGAAAATGGAAAAGTCATCAGAAGTTAGGGTATCACAAAATAATTTATTTTTAAAAAATTCCATCCCAATTCCATATCATGTTGTTGACTGAGAAACTATATACACAAGCATAGTATCATCACACTAAATGTAAATTATTGATAAGCATTACAACTACTGTATATATCAATCAGGAAAATCCCCATGCTATTGAGGTATTAGGTATAGGTAGAATCCAAAATTAACAGAAGACACCTACGGAATGAAAACTAGTAGTTCAGGATCACCCTCATTGCTTTCCAAGTGATCCTGTCATAAAAAAGTGAACTACATGAGGCTACATTATCTTAGCAACAGGCTATATGATTCACACAGATATAAAGGTTAAGTACCCCAGAGGAATTTAACCGATCCTCCCAAGCTTTGAATACAGATTTCACGCTTCCTGGAGTTGCCTCATTCAAAGCAGAAACCTAAGAGATAACAGAAGCTATAAATAAATATTTTACACTGATTCCTCATAGGAAAAAAGTTATTGTATGTGAGGGTTCAAAACAGAATCATTTACAATTTAAAAGCCAGCAGGATCAAGATAAAAAAGTAGTTCAAAGAACTCCCATAAATATCACTTACAAAAATCAATTGAACCCGTCCGCTATTATCACAGGAGGTGACTTAATGATCACACATGTTAGGCTTACATTCAACATGCTGTAAGCAGAAGGCACCGTCATCATGCACGTGCGATTGAATGAGTAATGCACTGTAGAGAACTTATATTCTCAAAAGTAAAGAAACACAATATCTATACTATATGCAGTTTCAACAAGTTCAGTCATAGTCTAACCTCGCCATTACTTTTAGCCTAAAAATACGTGGAAAGATCCTATCAGTTTCGTCAAAATCTCACCCTAACTCAAGTCACTGAAGAACTCCTCTAATGCAAAGACCTCCCACCAGAACGGCTCTGTGCTACAAATATATCTCTAGAAAAGTTTATCAATTCCCATTAATACCTAATCATCGATGTTCTTACAACGCATTCTACGATCATCACTCGCATATTTCAATATCTTCAAGCTCTCTTCAATACGCAGGTTTAAACTATTAACTTGTTGCCAAATAGCTGAGGTATAAGCCCAACTTGGAAAACGAGTAATTAATACAAACCCAATTTGCATGTGAGAAAACATAGCCAATGACAGGAATAAGGATCCAGGATCATGGGCAATATTCACGAAAAATTTCTAAGCACCGCAATTAATGAAGACAGCAAGAAATTGCAAAGCCCGGAGCATGAAATTGCAAAATACTCGTTGTAAAATGATCGAACGAACTAGTTTTAAATGATCAGATGGGAAAAAGAGAGGATTTGAACTAACTCTGGGGAGATCTATGTGCTTGTAAAGAGACCAATCAGAAGAACAATCGTGATCTTCGCAACTGTGATCGTGTAAGCAAGCCATCCTCGAGCCTCCAGTGACTACGGCCAGACGAGGGACGAACAGGGGAGATTTCTAGAGAAGCAAAAAAAGGAAGCGCCAGATTCCCTCACAGAACGACGTCGTTTCTAAACGTGAAAGATTGCGTAAAGCATAACAAAAAGGAAGAGGAATCCTACAATCTTCAATGGCTGCAATAATTTTATCTTTCTTTAATCTTTAAAATTTGTCAATTTTATTTTAAATATATTTATTTTTTCCAATTGAATACTTATTGTTTTTATTTTTTAAAAGTTCAAAATATCAGGGGAGGAAGAATTAAGATACTTTGTCCACCGAGGCAATGCTAATTTAGTAACTTGGTAAAAATAATTACTAAAATTTGTTAAATGGTAAATAATGTCATTTTGATATTATTTTAATCGTTTAAATTTTATTTTGCACCTTTGTACTTCCAGTTTTTATTTATTTATTTTAGTGATGTGTTTTCAAAATATTCATTTTTATTATTGTATTTAAGTTTATATTTATTTTAGTTTCCCTATTTTTAATGGCTCTTGATTTATATCTATATCTATGTAGGTATCTATAAGGAATCATATAAAGGTGATGTTATTATTTTAGATCTCAGCAATTCGACGAATTATTCCTAAAGTAAAGGTTCACATCAAAATAGTACTAGTTGATTAGAGTTACTTCGGAAATAAAAAAAGTAAAATGGAACAAACATCTTTTACTACTAAACTTTGACAATATTTCAAAAAACTCATATGTAATGTTTGTGTTAAAATTATTATTAAAAAAATGAGATTAAAAATTTAAGAAAAAAGAAAATAGAAAAATAAAATTAGTTCAAGAGACGTTAGCCAAAAGAACCGTTACCTTCTTGCAATAGATATCTTAATAGCATCTAACTAATCTTGTAGCGATATGGAGAATCACTCTTCAAAGACAAATGAGTTAGTTCTTTAAAAAAAATGACAAATGAGTTAGAGATAATTTACGGTACTATGAGAATACCATATTCCTTCTCGTTTATTGTTTTCCACATTATTATCGTATTAGAAATAACGTGAAGTCTATTAATATTAAAAATTTATTAACAAAGATAAAATTATAGTATAAAAAATAGTGTGCATGTTTTTAACTAGAGCCATTATCAATTTAAATTTTATACTCTTCTTGTAAAGACATGCATCCAAATGGGTTTTGGAACCCAAACTTTCTTCCTAGGCCCAAGTTTCAAATGAGAGGAAAAAAAACGTAAAATTGAATAAAGAGACGTAAAATTGTCATCGATATTGAAGAGGAGGAATGATGGTTGAGTGAAAAAGAAAATATAAATAAAAATATTAATATCTACAAAATAATAAATTAAAGGTAAAGGTATTCATTCATTATAAAAATAATTTAAGTATCTGAATTTATTATTAAATATAATGTATTTTTCTAGTAATTTGATCATTTTAAAATTACTTTATAACCAAACATTAATAATTCAAATCACTTCTACCTATGTAAAAAATAATTTTAAGGAGGTGGAAATTAAATATTAAAATGATTATATAAAAATCATTTTTACACCCGAATTTCGTTTTTGCTAAATGTTTATGGCCTAAATGCTAAACTATTGATTCTACTGGTTCGAATAAGTGTTCACCACAAAGTATTTCTACACCACATGCATACATCTGTGAGTAACTTGTTATTCAACATTGCAAATTTCAATAAAATGAATTAGTAAGGAAAAGAAAAACAATCATCTTACAACGTAATATTTAGTATTAGTTCAGAGGTTGTCATCTGGCTAAGGAATGTCCACATAGTTCGTTGAGATGTCTATACGAGAATAAAAACCTCTTTTATATTTATTGAGAAATTCTAAATTCTAACTAGCAAGGAAGAATGCTCTTTGATCAAGTCTGCAGCAAAGCTCGGACTGGTGTTACTGACGAACGGAGGGACATGTAAAAGAGAGTAACAACTCTGACGCTCAAGTCAATTCTCATCTGATTTATTGCTCGAGAGAGAATAGTTTCGCATACATAGTAAATGAGGTGAGGATCTCTAATTATAGAGGTGAGCTTCCTACAGAGTTTCAGCGACTATTCGATAGCCTCGAGAATCACTGCGTGTTGTCTTAGATTCTGTTAGTGGTTTGCACCAGTAGATGTTCTCAATGGTCGATCGAGATGGAAAATATGGATTGAGTACTTTGCATGGATTGCCAAGGTACAAGTACTTTTTTCCGAATGCTGAGTTGTGTCTAGTTATTTCCTTATATGGGTGACAATAGGTGTTCGAATGTTGACACGTGGTAGTTGATCATCTACCTACAACAATGATAGTGTTTTATTGACTCTCAAAATTATTAGTCTAAGTACTTCTACATACTAAAGGTTTTAGTATATTTGGGAGTGATGGTAAAATGAGTGATTTTAAAAAAAGAAATTTAAGTATAATTGATTTTCTAAAATCACCGTCCAAGTAATACCTTACAAATAAATTTAAAGTGATTTTAAGTTTGTTGGAAGTGATTCCCACCTTACACGTGGCACACGTCGATTGAGTGATGAGAAGTACACATGGCCTTTATCCATAAGTTTGAAGTTTCCTTACCTCAGTTTTGTTTATACGACCGAGCCGACCAAGCTCCATAAAGGTCCATTCTCATCTATTTAGATGACCCGCCTAACTTCATTTCGGCTCAGCCCCAGGCTCCACGACAATGCGCCGTGATTCACGGCAACCTTAAAGAACCGTTGAAGGGCTATCGGGAAGATTATTGGGGAAGTTACCTATAAATAGACTCATTCACTCCACTTTCAAGTATGCGAATACTAGATTCTCTCTCGAGTTTAGTTCGACCAGCTACTGACTTTAGCATCGGAGTGTATTCTGTTTTGCAGGTCTCCCATCCAGCTCATCCCTCGAGCAGATCTCAATCCGAGTCGAGCTTCGCACACTTGGTCATTTTCTTGATCAAATAAAGTTTTCATAAAATCAAAATTCTAATTTGACAATCATAATCAATATAATAGATAAGTGATTTTGACAATAACAAATCAAAGTCACTCCCAAATACATTCTAAAATCACTTTCAAACATATCATAAATTTGTTGGGTTTTATGTCCTAAAACTCATAGTTTGAAAATGACAGATATACTTTTATCCTTCAATAAAGTTGTTATTGAAGGTTTTAATCAATAAGTAGTTATTGATCCAATAAAATGTTCTTACTATATCTAAATCCAATAAAATAAAGGATCCTAGACTGTTACCT